TGGGTTAATTTGGTTGAGTGTAAATAGGTGTGAGCCATAATAAATCCTTGAGAGTTGCGGTGGAGGGTTGAACAGACCCACTCACTTTGGACCTAACCTAACCTAATCATAATTGAGGATGTACCTTAGGTATATAAAAGCTGAGTACATGCTTTAGGTAATTATGATACCTGGGTAAGTAGTCCTCAATGGTGATTACGTGGGATATACAGGGTGTTTATTAAACATGCGGCAACAAATTGAGGGACTATTCCTTGGACTATTTTCTACTTTGATGATTTTTGATAGGGCGCTTTGTTTCGAACATACGGAGCGAAAAAGAATTTCGACAATAACAATTTTAGTAATTTTGAAATTATTAACGTAGTCAAAATGAAAGTATAGGTTACTACACTGGGCCTACCAAGTAATAAAAAATCTAACAATTCCGTTGGTATCTATCAACAACTCCAGTGGAAGATTTGAGAAATCGGATAATTACTGGGTGTAACGCAATCAAAAACAATCCTGGTGTTTTTGAAAGAGTTCTGGAGTCGATGAGAAGACTAGTGGATTCTTGCATCCGAGAGGAGAGTAGTCATTTTCAACAGTTCTTGTAGATTAAGAAACATTACATGTAATTTTTGGTAATACATTGTTATTGTCGAAGCGCCCTATCAAATATCAAAATATCCTTACAATGGTGCAAGGAATAGTTCCCTAAATTTTTGCCGCATGTTCAATAAACACCCTGTATAAATATTAGAGTAAAGAACCAACTTTTAGTATGTTATTCACTACGAAAAAGCTAAGGTGTTAGCGAAACATGTCGTGATATTTTTGATAATAAAGTTAGTGAAGATCAAATCGTAAGGTGCAGTTAGTATAGTTTATGAAATTACTATGGATCTTCATCAAGTAACGGCCAAATCAATTAGAAAAAATAAATAATTCGTTTTTACACCAATAGTTGCGCCTCAGTTAAATTGTAGTATGCTATCACATTCAGATGGCATACTGTGCTCCATCAAAGAGAGTGTTTTCATTTTGGTTCACCATTATGCTAATGCACACACTTCAAATTCAATTACGATCAATTGTTCACTACTGAAAGGTTCTCAAATAAATATTCATTATGGTGTTGCCGGCATCTCAAACGCAATTTCTTCAGTTTTTGTTTATCTCGTGGAATTCAGTTTCATTCATTGAACTACGTTAGAATTCATTCTCGCGGAGTATCCTCAGTCAAGGAACAAGTAAGTTTATAATCAAGGAGATTACTTCGAAATTTGGGGTAAGTCAACGTCTCACCAATAGCCTTAGTTTGAGTAAAAGGAAGGTACTTCCTTTTACGGTATGAGATACATTATACTCTGTTCAGTGGAACATGGGCTGAAAAAAGTCCCGGGCCTAAAAAAGAAAAAGCGTGTTTTTTGTTCAAAATTGACTTTATTCGTCAACGTCATCTCCATCAACAGCCACACAAACATTCCAGCGCCGCTTTAACATTTCAATACCATTTTTGTAGAACGACCTCAAAATAAGCCTCAGTTTTAGCAATAACCTTTGTATTCCTCCGCAATTTCTTACCAGTTCTTTGAGCTCTGCGAACAGCCAGTAGTCACTGGGAGTTCAATTCATGTAGTTTTGCCATTGTTTTGATTGACTTGTGACATGGTACGTTGTCTTGACGAAACAAATTTTTTTTCTTTGCTATATGCCGTCGTTTCTTTGCAATTTCGGGCTTCAAACGCTCCAATAACGCTATATATATATGGTATTTCCCTTCTCGAAATAGTCGATGAATATTACACCACGCATATTCCAAAATACCAAGGATATAACCTTTCCAGCCGATTGTTGTGCTTTTGGGCGCTTTGGACGCGGTTCACCAGTTGACGATTGTTTTGATTCCGGAGGGAAGTGATGGATCCATGTTTCTCCCATTGTCACATACCGACGTGAAAATTTCGATTTGTTATGTTTAAAATGGCCAAACAATGCTCAGAATCATCACGACGTTCTTGGTTTTGGTCAGCAGTGAGCTCGCGCGGCACCCATTTTGAACAGAGCTTTCTCATAGTCAAATGCTCATGCAATATAAAGCTAACACGTTTTTTGATATCTTCACAATGTCACCTAACTCGCGCAACTCACTTTTCAATCATTCAAAACGATTTTGTGGATGTTTTTAATGTTTTCTGGTGTTACTGCCTTATTTGGGCGTCCACCGCGTTCTGCTTCATCGGTGTCTCTACGACCACGTTTAAGTTCACCAAACTGACGTTTAATTGTTGTTTCTGATGGAGCAGAATCCTTATAAGGCTTTTCAAGACATTGCTTGGCTTGAACGGTATTTTTTCCCATCAAGAGTAAAATTAAAACATGACATTGTTTTTATCCATTGTTTCGAAAATAACAAAAATAGTGTCTTTCGTAGCACAATAACTCACAAACTCATGAGTAGAATTTCATTAAATTTCATCAGCTTTCTCTTGAAGGTTGGTACTAACTGATAATGCGTTGAATGTAATAAGACTAGCGCCATCTATATGTTAGGCCCAAGACTTTTCAGCCCAGGTAGTATATGTCCAAGATAAGGGTCAGTAAGGGGTAATCAGGCACAGTAACAAATTCTACGTCAGTTGAATTTCTAAAAAGTTGTTAATTTTGAGATTTGTTCCAAAAGTAACCAGAAATGTGGTTTGGTGGTTCTAAAATCACCACTATTGTGGTACTAGATACGAAAAACAGATTCCTGAAACTGGTTAACCAAACGTCAAAATACCAACCAATTATATTCTTCTGGCAGATGGCGGGCTTAAATTTGGTATATTTGCACAGGTGATTGTGACCTCGTTCACATTTATGTTGTTATGAGAAAAACAACCAACTACTTTAATGTTCCTCTAGAAGATGATCACTTGGTGACTGAAACACGTGTCGAGGTGTTGAAAATAACGGTTTGGTGTTGGGATTAAACTCCAGTAATATTAATTACAAACAATGAATCACAAGTAGTTTTTGTAGTTGAACAGTAAAAAATGTTATATTTTGCATATCTAGAATAGTATAATCATATGATTTGCACATCATTTTATTGGTTACATTTTCTGAAAAACATTTCAATGACTCAGATGGGACCTACTTTTTAGCACTAAACACTTTCATTTATCAACAATGGGGAATGTTCCTCCTGACGAAAATCAAGTAGTTTTCATAAAAGAGCTCTAAAACAACATACATCTTTTAAACTTATCATTTCAACCGTTTTTTTAATCATTCAAATACATAAACAAGAGGAATGAAATAATGCATTCAACATTTAAAGGGATTCGTTTCTATTTCACCATTTGGCAACATCGGTTATAGCTAATAAAGGACAATGAATGTGTTACCTGTATGAGACAAACAAAGATGACATATTTCAGAGGCGTGCTGTTTCTGTTCATTTATGTTCCGAGTTCCCAGACATTTTGTGACATATATGACATTTTGTGCACCTAACCTATCTTCCTCTATATAAATAAATAACAAAACAACTGTTGTTTATGTGGCTTGTGGAGGTGGTATTGAACTATAATTTATATTTTGCCTTAATTGTTGATTTATAAAGATAATTTTCCTTTTTTAAAGTAGAATATCTAGGTACGTATAAATTATTTCAACTTTATATAGGCGCTGTTGTCAATATGTGAATTAAATACAAATCCCTTTAAAAATTAAAACCCAACATTCGAAACATCAATTTGAATACTTTTCGAAGTGAATTTGAAAAACTCATGAATTAAACACAACTTTATTTTGCTTTATTTGCTGTAATAACCAAAATTGAGGAACATTCCCCATTTTCATTCCGGTATTGAAGCTACAGATTAATACAGGTTTATTTGGACAAATATCAAGAAAATCATATAATAAAATTTGTAAACCTAACTTTAAACAATTATCAACTTAGTAAACTTTGAAACCAACAATATTAAGACTTGCTTCTGTTTATCAAATTCAATTGATTTGTCCTGTTCAACTGATGTTTCATTTATCTTGAGTCAATGGATCCAGTTCCCGTTTTTTCACTCATTTAAAAAAATTATAGGTGGAAATCCAATTATAATGAGGACCCGAGGTGAATCTACCCTTAGAGAATAAACATGTACTCAACTCAAAATCTCAAAAAAATGAATCAGGTGCTTTTCCACAAACACCCATTCAGTTATGGATGATAACATACTGGAGTGAAGAATAGTTGAGAAATGTATCGTCAGTTCATGAAATTTTTTAATATTGGGGCCCTCTGTGACTTTCATATTCCTCCTAAGACTCATCAGAACTAAAAAGTAACTCTATACGGAGTATAGATCATGAAAAGATGTAACTTTCAGATACAAACTGGAATTAAAAGCCCCCTCGAAACAATAATTTTCATATAAACATATTCTTTCGTGTTATTCAACGCAACTGAAACGTTTCTTCATCACGTGTGTCGCATCATTGTAGGTGTGTTTGTGTGTGTGTGTGTGTGAGAGAGTCCGAATGGATTTATTTTGTCGCACGATGGTTTTGATTTTGCGATAACTTCTGAACCATCATTTTGAATTGTATGGTGTGAAAAGCAATCATAATGTGCATGAATTGCTAAAGGTAACTAACGTATCCGTCTAAATAGCTTTCCAATCACCATATTATATTCGAACATTCTCAAAAGATAGACAAATGCCATCGCGTACTTTTTTGTAGACCAAGAAGAGAACAACAATATGTAATGAATGGTTTTGGTTAATCTCAACGGAATTAGTTAGAGTTTTTGAGGGAAGCTAGCAAGGTAGCACCCCACCCCAGCTTCTCACTGATAACATCATCATATTTCAAACAATCTACAAAAAAATATGAATTTTATACAAAAACCTCATTCTTGGAACACATCGTAAATAGTATGTACAAATTATTCATCTTTATTTCTAAATATCTTGTAATTATGACACAAATGTACTTGACCTGTTGACTCTTTGTTTTTGGTTCATATCAGTAGGACAAATCAGTCAACGATTGTATTTGCAATGAATATGTTAGAAATTATATTATTAGTCTGCATTTTTTATACGAATATATTGCTATCTTATCAGGTGAGCATGATTCAAATAATGGCCACGAACGAAACTCTAAAAGTCAGAAGAAAAATGTTCATTATGATCAAAAACTTTTGCAAATTTCGCAATTTCCGGTCTGATAAGCCCGGTTTCACCTGGTGGCAAAATGTTTCATTTTCTATTTGACTCTGCATTCGATAGGTTGTGGTTGTTCACTGTGTGTTTGAAATACCTCTTGCTGCTTTTTGCATGTGTGTTAGCTTAGGTTGTGGAATGGTGAGCTGTCGGATGTCTATTTCTTCGTATTACCGCTGGATATGGGAATAACATGATACAGGATCACCCGAGGTGCTGTTTCTCCCTAACCAATTGGCATCCCAACGATGGCTTTATCATGAGGTGTCTATGTGTACCTAAAGAATGTATGATTCTTGAGCTTATCAGCTATACACTAACGAAACGTTAGAGATACCAGGCGTCGTTTCGTCGTAGAAAACCTTGCCACGATAATAGAGGAATCTGCTGTGATAGACCTCCTCACCCTAGCTACTCGTGAGACCGTTATAGACCCTAAAGTGACCAAATAATCCGACCCTGAGTCTATAGAGAGGATGGACTAAAAGTCAATTGAAACTTTTTTCAGTTGACGTTCCTGTTACGTGTGCTTTGGCTCGATGCAGTGGTCTGTAATATCTGTCACATAATTTCATCTTGTTTTTTTTAATGAAAGGTAAAACTGGAACCTCACCCAAGTTGGCGTATCCAGGTGATGAAGAAAACTAATTAATTTGCATCTCTGGTTTGAAATAAAAATGACATACATTTGATTGGTCTCAATTGGTTTCAAGATATTCACCGAATCCGAATCATGTCCTCAGCTTTCAAAATAAAGCTAGCTCCAATCATTTTTCATGTTCCAAGTATGTATCCGAGAGCCAAACTTACTCTAAGGATTACATAGTTTTTGCAGCATTGATGGATAAACGTCGTCTGGTCTCGGCGACTTATATATTCAGTTTGCAGGCTAATTATCTATAATTCTATCACTTTCTCTGTGTCATCCTCCAATCTTCCTTTTTGTGATAGGCTCCAGTTCTGAATTCTGAAAGGACTTCAGAATATTCATTCCGAGGTTCCTTCAAGAGTAATAATAATAATAATATTTATTTCACTTGTTGAACAGTATGAAAGCATTACAATAAACATTTACATACAGTAACAAGGAAGACGTCCATGTATAACTAAAAACAAATATACCTATATAAATATAAAACAAAAAAACATGACAGATACTAAACTGTGCATATAAAGGTAATTAACAATTTTTTTTATCGAGAGTAACTATTGAAACTCGTCAACGGTGTAGCAGTTTCTTTCAATGTGATATTTTTCCAATTGTCTTTTGAATATGCAGATGTTCATTGAGTCCTTAATAGAAACATCGAGCTTGTTATATAATTTGGGTCCAAGGTATAGGTGACTCTTTTGATAGAGGGAGGTTTGGTAAGGATTCGCTATCAACAACCCTCTAGCTCTAGTTGCGTATGAGTGATCTTGCTGGTTTGCCTAAATTTTTCTTTATTCTCATAAACGTAGAAACACATCTCATATATATACAGACCAACAACTGTGAGTAATTCCAGTTCTTTGAATGAGCTTCTACATGAGTGTCGCCATCCTAAACTAGCAATTATTCTGACCGCGCGCTTTTGTAAAATAAATACTCTTTCAGCAGAGGAGTTCATACCCCAATTCAAGATTCCATAGCGCAAGTGACAGCCAATAGTTGCATAATACAGATTTGGGAGAACCTCTCTTTCACAATGATTCGACATAAATCTCAGTGCATAACAATTTCGTAGTTTATCACATACCTAATGAATCTATATGAGGACCCCAATTGAGCTTATGATATAGAATTAGACCTAGCATTTTTGTTTCTGGTTTGGATGTCACCTCTAGTTGGCTATCTTCATATATTTTGAGAGTTTCGGTGGTGTTCTGCATCGAGAATTTGACTAATGCTGTTTTGCTGATATTTAGTGCTAAATGATTTTTTTCAGCCCATTTCATTATTTTCGCATATATGGATTCTGTTGTGTCTGCAAGTGCTAATGTATCAGTGACCAGAACATTTGTATCGTCTGCATATGCAACTATATATACCTTTGAAAAACTATTTAGGTATTGTATCAAGTCGTTCGAATAAATAAGAAACAGCAGTGGTCCGAGTATCCCTTCCATTCCCTCCTATTTCCTTCCCTATCAATTCAGAAAATTTGTTGTTTTTTATTCACGAGTTCTAAAATATCGTCTGCTAATCGAGAAATTCTCGTTTATATTCGGCGAGCTCGTAACTGGAGTAGGAAGGTTACAAAGAAAGCACAATCGTCAATCATGGTCAAGTGAAGTCAAAACCACATACATGATGACGACCTCCTAGTCACCTTTTTAGAAGCTTCAATAGCAAAGCAACGTAACGATGAGTCCTCAAACTTCTTTTACTTTCTGAAGAGTCCCAGCAAAGGTGGATGTATTTACCAAGCTTAACGATAGTTTTTTTTATTTTTAATGACTAATAACCAGTCCGTGCAAAACTTATTGTTAAATCATCTGAAAATGGAACTTTCAACAGGTGATGATCGACTGCATTGCCAAACATGCGCCAAACTAATTGACTGTTACAAGAAAACAAGTATAGCTGAGGCACCAGTCAATCTAATAATAACACTGATGATTTTCAAGCATGACTCAACCTCTGACGGAAGCACCAAACTCTTTCGAAGGTTCGAAATAGATGAACACTTCAATCCAGCAGACCACTATTATAATCTTCGTGCAGTCATTGTTCACTGTGGTTCTGGCGTTGAACCTGGTCATTATAACGCCTTGTTCAAAGAAGAAACGGATTGGTTTAAGTTTGACTATAGACGTGTCACTAAGTGTTCTGGCGATGTCTTGAATTCATTGGAGCCTCTGGAAACACCCTAAATTTTGTTTTATGAGAGAGAGGACTTTGGCAAATCAAGATCTTCAGATGATGTGGTGTTGCAGGTTTTTCCGGGTTTTCCTGCAGCTGAAAAAGCAAATGCGCCACTGGAATCAATGAAGTCGCCCCGGAGCGTCAATTAATTTTTGTTGTTGTTTTATAATTTCATGATATGTATTTTAGGAATGTATTATTATATTAGGAATTTTCAATGAGTTATTCAGAAGTCCTTTTATTATTTTTAAATGAATGTCATTTGACTGAGTATTTGTGATTTGCAGGACACTGTCAAAGTTTCCCTTTATTATGAGGCACTATGTCCATATAGCGAGGAGTTTATAACGGACCAGCTTTATCCTGGGTACCAAGTTTTGGGAAATGCACTTACTGTTGAAATGATTCCTTATGGGAAAGCTAAGGTTAGGAAGATAAATCAATTCATATTATTTTTTCAACAGTTATATTGAAAATAATTGCAATTATTGAATCTAATCTGACGATCACTGACTTGGTCCCACTGTTTTTCAATTTATAATGCATTTCTTATTAGAACTGTTTTAAACTGCAATCAATTTGTAACTGATATCACGAATAAATATTTTGTGTTTTTTAGCGTAAGAAAGTTAATAATGAATGGAAAATAGTATGTCAACATGGTCCAAAGGAATGCTATGCCAACAAAATACAAGCATGTGTCCTGGGTTTAAACCATACACAATCAGAATCTTTGAATTTCATTGACTGTGTTATGTCCACTGGAAATCCCCAAAACAAAAAATATGCTAAAAAGGTAACCTTGAGATTTGAACATATCGATTTTTAGGAAATGTCCCAGGGCGACTCTCTGAAATGTAGAGTTGAGATTATGTGATGTGAGAATAACTAAAGGCTCAAATAACCAAAAAGAATGGCATATCATGTATACATTATTTTGAGTGAAACCCAAAAAATGTTTAGAATTGTCCCATAATTTCTTTTCATACAATTTGGGGATTCAATATTGTATATACACACCTTTGGACTGTATTATCATCTAGTCCCTGCTTGCGATAAAAGTTACAGGCAGAGACAAAAAGTGGTTTTTCATTTAGCAGTTGAAGTTTAGCTTTGCAACGGAAAACTATTGGGGCACTCGTTTATTTTTTATTTGTGATGAGCTTACTGTTGTTTCCATAGATGATGAGGGGAGTCTCATTGCTACGTCTTAATATAACTTTAGAATCGTCAATGATACGATATTGTACCCTTCGATTGCATGAAACTACCTTTACATTCACCATTTGATAGTTCTTTCATTACTGTTTCTATTCACTTTGCAGGGCTTCAGTTCAAGCTGATTTCAAAACAAAAGTCATAACTTTTCAATCACCCAGTATACATCAGGAAATTTCAAAAATTATATGATATACTAGGTGAAATATCTATATATTCGTCTTTGGACAATATATATGCAAATTCTTTGAACTTCCTCTTGAACAAGTGTTCCTCCCTATGGATGATCATCCACAGGGATGATTATATTAGATAAGGGAAGTCCGAACTAAAAGTAACAGTCCGATGTAAAATTCACCATGAAACATTGTCAACCATTTTCAAACAATCTAAATATTTATATGAAAAATCAATTTCATGTAGTTTGATGCTATTGTTTCTGTAAAATTAGATGATGCAGCGAATTTTCGATGACTTGTTTGGGGCAGTCTATAATCCGAGCTACTCCTGAATAAGAAAAAAAGTTTGCACCAAAAGTCCGTGCGACGGTTAATTTTCTAGGTTTATTTTATTGTTCCTCTTTCCTCAAAAACCAGAACTGCAATACGGTTTTTGACGCGTGTTTCATCAAGCAAGTCTTCACGAGATGAAGAAAACTCATTCCCAACTCTAAAACTGGTCTGCATTTATATCTAACAGTATACACTTTTACTTTCCGAAACACATAATTGATTTCGAGTAGAAGACTACATACAATCAACAAAAATCTACGTAGAACAAACTTTCTTTCAGTTCAACAACTTTTGCTACGAACAGCATGAAGGCACGGCAATGGGAAACCCACTGTTCGCCTTCATAGCTGATCTGTTTATGATCAGATTTGAATTGGAAGCAAAAGATGAGTTAGATGACTTCCCATTGGACTTAGATTCGATATGTAGACGATGTATTTGAGCTTTTTGATACAAAGAAATCTAAGGTAGAGGACTTTGTTTCAACTCCTAACAACATAACCCCAAATATTAAGTTTTCATATGTAATTGAAAATAACTAGGAGAAAACATTTTTGTATATTAGTGATGAGAAGTAACCAGGGTCTAGAATTTGATGCCTTTGGAAGAATGCTTTCGAAACTTTGGAAATAGCAGAGTGTACCATGAGAACTAGGAACAGTGACAAAGGTCCCACTCCAAACAGATCATTGTTCGCCTTTTTATGAATCACTCTGTTAAATTTTGCGGGAATTTTCATGAGTTAATTTCTCGTAAAGTACTAATCGACATCAACGATGTGGGTCGGAAAGTTTACCCTGATAGATATGAATAGAAACCAGTTTTAGACTCAGGAATTTGTTTCCATCTCCTGAATACGCCAACCTGGTTGATGAAACGTGCGTCAAAAATAGTATTGCAGTCCTGGTGATTGGGAAAAGTGTTTGTTTTGGATTTACTCTACGCTAGAGGTTCCTGTTTTACCTTAAATTGTTATTCATTTTTATTAACAAACCTGAATTTCATGTAAAATAATGCAGTATAATTCATTATTGAGCATATACCTTGTGTCCCAGGATTGATATTACAAGAAGTATGGTGTTTTTTTAAGACAAAACACAAGCACTTCAGGAACATTCTTAAGGCGCTCTCAGAGCGGTGTCTGTGCGGAAGTAGCGATTCACATTGGATTTGAATCGCTGGAGATTAAATCCATTTGAAAAAACGTTCTCAGGTATGCTAGGGGTCGGAGCTTCATACATGAGAATAATACTCCAAAGAAGTATGATCTGAGCTTTATAAAGAAAGAAAACAACAAACCATAGTCACTAGACTACGCCTTGGACACACCCACATCACACACTCCCACCTGATCGATAAATCCCAAGAACCAACCTGCGAAATATGCCACTGCCCCCTATAACAGTGAAACATATTTTAATCGAGTGCGAAGCTTACAATCGACATCGAAAACTACATGGATTTCCTTCAACTCTCGCCGAACTTCTGAAGGAAGGTTGCAATCCCTCCCAGCTTATAGATTACCTAACTGATATTGGTTTAGTCAATGAAACTTAGATTATATTAGATTAACTGTATCTATTTATTCACATTTTTTATTAACTATGACATGTAATATGCCGTCTCTAATAACCTGAATGGTTGAAGGGACAATAAACAATTTAAATAAAAAAAAAAGCATTAAAAGTTGCTGAGGTGTGTTCAGTTTTCTTGTTCGGAACAGTGTTCCAAGCTTTTGAGAAGCAGCCTTTGCAATTCTAGCGACGTGATTGTGCCAAGACATATTGGTGTCAATTTTAACCCCCAACAAACTTATTGAAGCAGAAAGCGGAATTGTCTGACCTGACATTATTTCCGGTTTGGAGACATTTATCATCGTGGAGAAAACCGATGACTGGGTTTTTGTAGCATTGAATTGAACCTGATTACTTTCACCCCAATTCGAAATCACTTCTAGATACTCATTCATGGAATCCAAATGAAATGATGAGACAAGTGTGCTGTCGTCAGCAAAGTAATAAATTGGATTCTTTATTTCTCCCAATGAGACGTTGATATACAAAAAAAAGAGGGTTAGAGGCAAAATGGATCCCTGGGGAAGACCAGAGTTGATGGTGAAAGTATTCGAGAGATATCCATCGACGGCCACTTGCAGGAAACGTTCTGTCAGGAAGTTGAAGAACCATATACAAAAATGATCAGACAAGCCATAGCATCGATGTTTGGCCAGCAAACCCTCATGCCACACACGGTGAAAGGTCTTAAAAAGATCAAGCGCAACAGCTCTTGATTCTCCATGTTTCTCGATTGAGTTATTCCAAATATGGGTGACATACGATAGAAGGTCGTCTGTTGATTTTTGTTTCCGAAAGCCATATTGATGGTCACTCAAGATGTTAAAGCCTTCCAAATATTCAAGGATATGGTGGTTTACGACTTTCTCCATGATTTTTGATATCACTGATAGCAAAGCGACTGGTCTATAGTTATTTGGTACTAAAAACACTATTGTTTTGTAGGTAACGTACCCTCTTTGTTCATGGTATTTCAAAAATATTACTGAGAAAAGTTGTTCAGAATGAGAAACTATATCTGTACAAAATTTCAATTAACTACTTTGAATAAACCATTTTTTTTAATTAAACAAAAATAAATTTCACGTATTTTCACTCTCAAAATAGAACTCAAAAATGTTAATCTCTTGTAGCATCAATTCTGGAAACCACTGTATACACGAAATTAAAATACCTTTTTTGCTACTTGCCTAAATTTCCAATCCTTCCAAGCCTCTGAAAAACATTGCTTGTTCATGATCTCATTGCTCTTTCCCCATCTTTCATAACACCCATTCTAATAATGTTGTTTGTTACCTGTAGGGGAGATGCCCATCGATATTCAGCATGTTGTTTAAATACAGTTGTTCAATTTCACAATTTCAATTCACTCTGTATTATACAGTAATAAAATGATATTTTCAGTGTGCAAATAAAAATAAACTATCGTGGAGAGACATCAAGACATGTGTAACGGATAAGCAAGGCACCCAATTGATAGAGAAGTTTGGAGAGAAAACAGACAATTTAATTCCGAAATTAGAGTATGTTCCACATATTTTATTCAATGACAAATTCGACGAAGTTCTTGAGAATGACGCTAGAAATGATTTTTTGGAAACAGTTTGTAAAATGTTCACAGAAAAACCCAATGGCTGTTAGATAGCATCAATATTAAACTGTTTTCATCAGAAAGGGCGAGATGGAATTACAGAAATATAAAATCATGAAATAATCGCTAGCCGTTTGTATTTTATTTTGATTTTGGGGAATGATATAAGCGAGCTCAATGACCAGATCCATAACCTCGGAATCGTCCTGGACAATAAACTAACGCTTAAAACATATATTGGGAAACACAATACACCACAATTATGTCATTACAAATCATCTAAATGAACAATTCGTTCACGCCAGGTTTCCCTTACCTACACAGTAGGTTCATAGACTGACACCTTTCAGAAAACAACTACTCCCCTGGCTAGTACCACGAAGGGCATTGGATTATATCCGACAGGTGTCAGTGCAGGATTCTTCACTGAAGTTATTCCTCCTGCATATGCTGTTGGCGATACAACTGCCGCAATAGATTTTCAATTATTGGAACGGGTACACTTGCAAACCGGTTTCGGACAATTTGGCTTTTCGTCAGTGCAAGGTAGTGTCTATCATTAACATAAAGTCGATTATTTCCTATAATTGAAAATCGAATTTCTTCAGAGTATCATTCCTCGAACTAGGCTGAAACATATCTGTCATCGCCCTCTTTACGTGTAGACGAGAAAGTAACTAACCGCATATCCGCAACCTACAGTTGTATCGCCAAAAGCATATGCAGGAATTACTTCTGTGAAGAATCCTGCACCGACAGCTGTATGATAAAATCCAACGCCTTTCGTGGTATTAGCCCGGGGAATAGTTGTTATAGGTGAAATGTCATCACAATCATAAAATGCCAGCGAAGCCAATATTAACATATGAATATCTTGAAATCTACGATTGGTAGGACGTGTTGAAAAAGTTCAGGCAAAAGAAAATGACGAATCTAAAAATGCAAAAATTTACAGGGTGTTCCCTTTGAAATAAGTGATATGTATTATTATCAAATAAGTTAATGAATTGAATTGAATAGAAACGTACATTCATTCTCATCGTGTTGAAGAAAGTATCTGTAACACACCCTGTAAGTATGATCTCCAATTTTGATACAAATTGTGGTAGATTTCACATTTGCAGTGTGTTTCATTTGCCATATATTGAAGTTTTATCACAACTAATTTTTGTGGAAAAATATTATAAAAATTATTATTTCTGAAACGAATTGATATATCAAAAAATTCATAAGTATGGAAGTAGTTTATAATTCATTATGGCATCCAAAAATGCCAAAATATACAGGGTGTTCCATTTGAAAAAACAAAGTTGTGAATAAAACTATACAACTGGCAACACGGCGTTCCTCAAACTATTATAGAATCATGCACTGTATTTATTAATAGCCAATGCCAGATCAATCTGTCATTTCGTTCTTCAGATAAGTCTAATGATCCAATGAACTTAGGCTTTCCTGTTTATGTCATGCAAATATTGATATTTTTTAGCATATGCTGTTGAATTGGAAGCTTTAGTTAGTTTCTTTCTTCTTATCATTGTAATTTAGTACTATAATTATTCTTTTAATCACATTTAGTTACCTTGTACATAGCGATAGTTACTACGTGTTATCCTGTATCATCCTGTGAAAGGATAAACTCTATCAGTTCATCTGTTTGAATGATCCACAATTGAATGAATGAAAAAGTTAATTCCTTGCGGGCTTGAAACCAGCAAGCAAGATTTGAAGTTGTTTCCAATACCAGATTGGGCTATTTCAGTCTATCATCAGCATCGCTGAATCATAGATTCATTGTTTGAACTCTGTCCTTAACAACCCCGAATGTGAAATGGGGACAACAACTCTCCTTAAAAAGATACCATCTATGGAAATAACAGAAAACTCAAGTAATGAATATCAAAGAAAAACGAGGATTTTTAGGTTCCTATTTGGACAAAAATAAGTTAAAATTTTGCATCCTGGCTCAGTACTACTGATGATATCTACGGCAGATCAAAACGGCACATTCTGGTATAGCACCCTGAATGCAATGCAATTGGGCTCTAGTATCGTCTAGTCGCATGCTTGCAGTGGAAACTGTAGAGAGAGGCGGACAGCGACTTTTCCCGTAAATCTTCTTAAGAGGAGTGTCTTTGCAGTGATTTTTATGGTCTATTTCTAGTAAGTATCCTGCAGAAAATATCAACATATGGTACAGATTTTCAAGTAACACAAAAATCTTGGTTTTCTAATAATGTAATTTCCCATTGATTTTTAAACAGAGGAAATTATTTATAAATTGATGTATGTAGCCGTTACTACGTGGTAGAAAATCATAAAAAATGAGGATTAAAACTTTCTGTTTTTTTACCACTTTCATTTGTAACTCACGTTACTGCAGTTTCGTCCTATAAGGACATTTTCAAACTTATAATCAATCAATCCGTTTTAGTTCAATCTGTAAGTTTGAAAATATTCTCATAGGACGAAACTGCAGTAACGTTAGTTACAAATAAAAATGGTAAAAAAACATAGAAGTTGCAATTCTCATTTTTCATGAAATTAATTATATTACAAAATACTAATATAACCTCACAAAAAACCAATTACTTTAGATAAGGCGATCTAGCCGACTATTTAATAGTACAAAAAGTAAAGAAACTATAATAAATAAACTGTAATGAAACGATGATCTTGCAACTTGAAAAGTATGCAATAGTCCAATACTAACATCACTGAAAACTAATTTCTTTCTTCGAAATTCGGACAGGCTAGTTATTTTTTTTGTATGTATGTACACAAAAATCATAATTTATGAAAAAATATATTATGATCATTTTGTAAGATATACTGCAACAGTATTACATCAAAGAAAATAATATTCTCAAAATTAATTAATGAACAAATAAGACTACTCNATTAAAAAAGGTACACATATACTTTTCCCCAGAAATCATGTACTATCCATTAATTTCGAAATCGGCCTCGAGTTAATTCCACAACAGCACCAATTTGTAAATGGTATGTAATGTATAGGATAAATTTGAAATCAGTACTAATATCACAAAATCTCTTTCAGTTTATAATTTGATATAGCCCGTCTTCCCTGGGAGAAACTTTTATTCAATATGCTGGAAGAATATTACAAGTTTTTACAAACCGACACCCCTTGTGTTATACTCATTATTATAAATGAGAAAATAACCTTTGACAAATGTTTGCCATTCTCCTTCACATCTAAATTCTGGTCTTAAGTGACTTCAAGCAGATGATGATACATATAGTAGAAGTGTTTAGTGGGTAGATGACAGCTGCTCACAGTTGAGAGTGAAAAAATGTTTCACATTAGTTTTATAAATGAAGGTTATCTATGAGTACAATTTTGATCGTTGAAAAATTATGCTCAGTAATCCCAAGTTATGTGCTACAATTGTCAAATTTTTTTTCCTATAGTATATTTATCTGAATTTTATGAAATGTTGAGGAAAAAAGTTTCATTTTTTTACAAGACAAAATGTAAGAGATAACACCCTCATAGTTTGTCATGCCCTTCATCGGGCTTCTTATAAACCATCGCTCGTGTTGAAAAATCATCAACAGAGATTTTTATAAATTGGGGAAACACAATTCCTAGTTATTTTTTTATTACAAATGATCATCCAGAATGTTCTGTTTATGAGCTCAGTTTTTATTCCTCGCATAAAAATCTTATCTTAGTCAAGAGACATTGAAAACTAAACCGACTACACATTATATAAGAAAATAATAATTCACGGTCAGAGACACGATCGAAAAGAATAGAATCCAGGCTAGTAGGCCTTGGTCGATGGTAAAATTCTGAAGCTACTTGGAGTTGAATTGAAACTGATAAGGTATTTTTAATCAAATACACATGCAGTTAGGAAATAAAGATAGTGAATAAAATACCAATTTTTGAGCAGACATAATGAGTCTCTTGATTTTGCCTTAACTAAGAGTTGATTTAGTTAAAAAACGTTTTTATTTCTTACCTGATTCTTGTGGAAATTATGATTTAAGGTTATTTCTGTCAAAAAGAAAGCAACCAATGCATTTCCACCTAGAGCTGCAACATGAGCTCGCACTATCGCCAATACTTCAGTAACGAAACTATGAAGAAATCCACTAAGTCCACCTTCCTGAAGAGAAAAACGAAACATTACTCTGTTGATTAATGTACTAATAAATATCAAGTATGATGAAGAAAAAAAGGTTTCGATTTGTAAAAATATTATTTTGGAAAACACAATTTGGAATTCTCCTTCTCTATTGATACTAAGGAATGAGTACCTTTCAAGAAGGAAAAGAAAAAAATTGATGAATATTCGATGTCTAAATGTTTTTTCAGGTATAAAGAAGCTCATGTACTCTCATGTGAAACAACTACTTGACCTTACACCTAACTTTTCCTGAATATTCATATAAAATTCTACTCCAAACATCTTGTCATTCCGAAACACTCCAGAGAATGATACAGTTAGGCATTAAATTATTTTCATAGCTCTCTGTAGTAAATTGAATCACTACTGAAGAATTCAGTAAATGCATTAACTGCATACTGCAAATTACCAATTGATTCACCTTTATAGCGATACTATTATTCACAAAGAACTTTTCTCGCTTTGAATGAAATACCAAATTTTTTTGAAGCCTGAGCAAATATTACTTTTGATTCATTGAAAATTGTTGACAATTTCAAATTATACACCTATGAATTAGTTTTGAGTTTTTTATAAATTGGCATATCCTCATAAATCAGTTATGAAATCAATAATTTGAGAGAGAAATATTTACAACCTTCTATAACACAGAAGACTCTGAAGTCACATAGACTCTCTTAATCTTCTGCATTTTTTAACAATATAATTTTTTTAAACATCTGTTTGAGGAAATTTCTGTATCGTTAGGATTACACCAGAGAGAATATTGATTTTTCATTTTTTAATGGAGGAGTAGAGACAAAAAGAGTTTTCAAAATGGTTTCATTCTTTTTAAGCTTTTGAATTCCTGACATAACAAATATACAAAAATATCCAGGGTGTTCCATGAGTTAAATCCTCTGTCGTTTGAAAAATGAGAGTTTTGGTATTCAAAGTAAATTATAGAAACTTCTAGCTATGCGATGGACTTGGTGAGTATTTGATGAAAATCCATAATAACGTTTTCAAATAAGACTTTATTAAGACATTTTCACTATACAGTTTACAAAACCCCAACACGTGTTACATCATACAATAGCTTCTTCAAGCATCTTCAATACTACCTCCAAACTATGTAGTGAAAGTCTCACAAAAAAAAATGTTACTTAAATACAAAACTTTCAAGTCATTTATGGTGAAATTTAACAATATTCTAAAACTGTATTACCTCTCGAATGGATGTAGTTTCCCTTATGAAGAAAAAATTCAAATTTCCTAAATAGTTATCAATAGTGGCTCCAGGTACATATGACAAAGGTGTTATATCAACACCGTGTATTTCCCTGTGAGGGGTCTACAAAATAATCATTATGTATACACTTCACCAACACCTCGTTGAGATTATACATACATGTCTTTGTTTCATCGACTGCGGACGGTACTTTGATGGAGATCTTTGTTTGAATTTTTGACTTTTATTAATAGTAACTACACTATTTTCTGGAATATTATCTTCATCTAGTTTGAATATCAAGTCGTCTTCTGAAAATTAAGAAACGATTCAATATATTTCTAGCAAATGGTCTTCAAAATTCAGTTTTACATATTTTCATTTCTTACCATTTCGTTTCAAATGCATCCCCGATTTTGTCTTTCTTTGTTTTTTGCCCAACCCCAATGCCATACCTAAAAATTAATATATTCAATATGGGATGGAATTGGCCAATACTTGATAAAAATACGTAACACACTCAAATAACTCTTTATTGTGAGATTTTCATGGACCACTTTACAAACCTAAAACACGTGTTTCGCTATACGATAGCTTCCTCAGGCGTGTTCATAAGTATGCACTTGCTATTGTATAGCGTAACACGTGTTGCAGTTTTGTACACTGTTCGGTGGAAATCTCACAACAAAGTTACTTGTATCCATACAAGAAGATTCTCAGGATGAGGATTTACCATAAACTAATAACTGAACCTCGTCTGGTTCGGGAATATCACATCGAAACTGAATATTACATAAGGCACAAGGAACCATTTGTCTCAATTTGAAATAAACGGTTTGTAACAGCTTTCGGAATTGCTCATCGATATTGAATGAGGAACTGAATTTGAATCTTCGAATTTGAGTAAACATTTGAAGATTTTTTATTATTTCCATGTCTTCTAGACCCGGGATGCTTTCAGTGTTCACAACGTGGAAACCATCTGGGGGGCGATCCTTCATTAACGAAAAAAGAACTCCTTCATCTTCTGGATCATCTACCTGGAATGTGAGACACATCACATATCATTCAAATCTTACCTGGCAAGTAATGAGATGAAAGATGTTAATGGGAGTCACAATGTGGATTGTCAATTGTAATTGGTCTAGCCATTTTCAACTCTGCAAAGTAAAAAAACTTTTATAAATAACCCTAATCTATTCCTCATCAGAATTGCTGAGATTTCTGATGAAAGTGATTGTTTCCTGGTGTGCAGTTCAATACTATTGGAAGGTACAGTGTTACCCCTTCAAGGAACTTAGGCCTGTTACAGATCAGAACTTTTGAGTTCACAAAGTATGTAGCAACAACTCTCACTATCTAATATGCCTACCTTAATAAGATAGTACCTCACTGAATAGAACCCTGAGGGAAGCTTTTCTTTGGCAAAAGGCTTATAAACCTTTTCGCTTGGCTATGTCATGGCACTTTATTCAATTAATATTTTATTTAATCAAGCTCCCATTATCGGAATTCCTTCTTCAATATTCTGTGGCATATCCAGTAATTATGATATAAGCAGAGTTCCCTTTAAAACTGTAGTTCAACTGAGAAATGGAGTAAATGGAACCAGCAATGTTTTTCTAGGATTTCCTCTGCTCCCCAATTTTGGGTCAGGGTTAAAGCCATTTGCAAGAATTCTGAGTTGACCCCATCATGCTTTCTTCCAACGGTAATGATCGATATCTAAGCGATTACATTTGATTTGTTACCAATTGTTCAATAGATTGCTTACTATAAATTACTATTCGTTATTGATTGAAAAAATCAAGTGACCTCAAAGTATGTTCTACATTATTTGTTTCCATTTCAAATTGCGCGATTGATGTCAAAAAGACAATAATTTCTTACAAAAAACAAAAAAGAAGATAGTGCAGAGGGATTTTCCTACATCTGTATCTTGTGAGAATGATTACCTCCAAAACACAACAATCCTTGTTTCCAGAAGACAAATCTAATGAAGATGGCTCCTCTTCCGAATCATCGTCTGACCAAACTCGACTATTCAATTGTTCATCCTAAAATATAATAAAAGTTAGAAGATAACACAAAGACGTATTATGTACTGTGTGACATGGACAGTTCTTTTGAAATAACTTTGAACGGCTCAATATCTTTCAAGAAAAAACTGTTGACAACTATTGATGTGTTGATTGATTTTCACAAAACCGTAACACAAATCTGATACTTATAGAGTCAATCCATAGTTTCATCTATTTGCGTGTTTGCATTAAAAGCTACGGAGTGAGCAGAAAATTATTTCCCATTTTCCGTTCAATGTCGAAACTAATTGACCCAGTTGTCATCCCAGGTCTTACCTTTCAATGTGCGATTCCTATCATGTGATGTTCATATCAGGTTAACGTTAACTTTGTTAAATGCTAACGTTGAATTTTGGTATGAAAATATGTTTGTTTGTACTCATGTAAAATGACGAGCAGTACACGATTCTGAGATCAAAGTTATTTTTAAAAATATGGCATATTGAAATCAACTCCAATTTTTTCATAAATACTCAATGAACCGTTCAAAATTTTGTTGAGGAAAGTAATTCCAGCTGTGTATAGGGAATGCCTGTGATTACTTACATCAATTTGATATGTTTCCTTATTTTTCTTGATGGTTTCATTCAACTGTTTCTGAAGCATTACCAGTTTCAAATCCAGATTAGATTCATCTGACACCAGTTTGGGCACTGCTGGACTCGGTAAAGATGTCAAAAAAACAGCAGTACCAGTAGCGAGAGCAATGATCATTTTCTCTCCCACCGTTATACGAAATTTGAGCCCGAACACTGCGTTCATTCCTTTTATCTTCAGTTTGTTTATCAACAGTCTGTGTAACTCGTATTCCAGAAACGGCAATCCATCAGATATTTCTTTGGCTATCCACTCGCCTTTCAAATCTTTCAGAGGACGGCATATGTATGATTCAAGGAAACAACCGCGTCCAGCACTGGGTAATCCCTCCGGAGGTTCTATTGTAGCTATCAGTACTTCTGGAACTTTTCCTTTTCTGAAGTAAGTTGAGTCAGTTACTTTCACCTTAAGTATAATTTGAACTAAGCCTAGAGAACTATTGTTGATTTGAGGTGTTGGGCCTTCCAATTTTCTTAAAGTATTCCATTCCTTTTGGAAGGTTTTTCAAGTGTTTGTTTAATGTCGAAACGGTGATTTCATATTTTATTTGAAAATTGTTGAAGTTAACTAATTGTCAACTAATTAACCTTCCTATTGACCTATCGACGTATGCGTCCTAGCTATCTGAACCGCTTATTTCATTGAGATGTCAAACCAATATTTCTTGAGCATTGCATTGCATACACCTACACTAACCATATATTTCAAAATTTCTGATTTGCCCGATACCTTGTAGGTTGGTGAAATTTCTAGTGTTATTCCCAAAGAAATGATACTTTGCGCCCTACTTAGTATGTTAATAGCAGTCACTTCCTTCACCTTTGGCCACCAAACTAGTGATGAATATATCATCATGGATTGAACATCATTGTGTATAATCAGAAATGATGAAATGTCTGGTTTCTGCTCCCATGTCTTCCCACTGGTGCATTTGACCAGCAATCTACACCTCCCTTCATATCGTGGGTAAATTTTGATTCCAAGGGACCTCTTCACGCTTTGTGATATCAACCGTGAAGTTTGTGTTGTAAGTGTACTTCGGTGTCATGTGGTCTGTGAACATGTTCAATGTTCGTTCATACACATATTCCGAGGATTCAATTTTGCTCGATTCCTTATGACCTGGTGGATTTTCCAGTCTGAATTTGTCCACTCTTGCTTCCCCCTTCATACATGCTCCAAACAATGGTATTTAGGTATAAAAAATTTTCAGAGGATTCAGGCCACAGACACTAGGAAATACTAATTTCCTTGTTCATAGTAACCATTCAAGTATCTTCTTAGCTTATGACATTACAAAAAAAATATTTCATAATCATCAGTGTCCTTGGGTTATTACTACTGATCAGGTTTGATAAAAATCGTAATTGAAAAAAAACCAAAAATTTTTGATTTTTGTTTATATAACTTTTGTCACTTTCAATAATCCATTTTGTTTTGCACCAGCAGTTAACTTGAATTAATTGATTTTGAAATCTGATTGGGATATATAAAATAGGTAGTTGTAAAGTGTATTTGATTGAATTATTAAACAAAAAATTCACTCTGTTCTACTGACAAAACAAATCAACATTGTTTGGATCAGTTTATTCTTGTTGAAAAACCCGCGCGGCTGTGACTTGTTTCAACGCGAAACAGTCTGAACTTATAAGTACAATAAGTTTTTTCTACTGAAAACTTTGAAACTACTAGTTTGAAATCTAAATGTTTGCGCAGATAATTAAAGAAGTGAATTGCTGTTTGAGGGATGTGTCACATTGTATACCTTTTCTATTTAAAATTTAACGGTTTAATCCACTACCCAATCAGTAAATACTTTCCCCTAGGTTCATGAAAAACTATTCTCTCTCGAAATCTAGTGTGCCTTTTTCAATGACCACCCCTCTATGTGAGTTGAGTGCCAAAAAAAACTATTTTTATTCAAATCAGGACTCATGCATTGATCACACTCACCGACACAACATGCATTTTCCTACAGTAGCCTTTAAAGCGACGTTATTGCTTTCATAGGGAAGATGAGTGATTGTACAAACGTTGCTGGTGGATATATGCAATGAGTTTTCTGGACTTTCTGAAACTTTATTGCTATTCTGAAAATTAAAGCATTAATTATATTTGTGTAGTAAATTATATAGTGCAGATGTAAAAGTTCCTAGATCGAAAATAAACAACATTCTAAAAAATAGTGTCTAATTAATTAAGGAGCATTATAGTATTTGTAATGAGCTAAAAAACAAAGCATTCATGTTTGTGGCTGATGTCACCTAGTTGCCCAGTAGTGAAATATGCAGAGAAAGACTAAAGAAGAATCTCGTTTGACGATCCATGTCGAAGCTTGGTTTTACAACCGTCTCACTTTGGGGGACTCGTTTATCATCAACATTTGTAGTTTGAGAAGTCGGTTTTCTTCGAAAAGATAAATGTCTCCGAACCGGATACAATAATGTCAGGGCAAACAATTTCTCTTTCTGATCGATAAGTTTTTTGGGGGTTGATATGGACACCAATATCATGGCACAATCATGTCGTTGGAATTGCAAAGGCTGCTTCACAAAAGTTTGGAGCACTGTTTCGAACCACTAGAAAACTTTATAATCCCCAGCAACTTTTGATGCTTCATAAAGCTCAGATCAGATCTTCTTTGCGGTTTTGTTCACATGTATGAAGCTCCGCCCCTAAGCATAACCTGAAGCTGCTGTATTCCATCCAGAAAATAGCCATCCGCCTGATAGGAGACACGAGCATCACTTGCAACCTTGATAGTCTGAAAAATCGAAGAAAATTTGGAGATTTGTCTTTTTTTTATAGATATTCTCATGGAAGGTGTTCCGGTGACTTGGCACATTTGATTCTACCAAGAGCGGTAAATACCAGAAATATGCGACGGCCTATGGCTGCTCATCGTTTTGAGGTTCAACTCAGTACACCTCGAACTTCACTGTTCAAGAACTCTTTCATTTGGAGAACTGCGCTCGAGTGGAATAAACTTCCTGAGAACGTTTTTTCAAATGGATTCAATCTCCAGTGATTTAAATCCAATGTGAATCACTACTTTTGCACAGGCACCACTCTTAGAGCGGCTGAAGGATTCTCCTGTAGTGCTTGTGTTTTGTTCTTAAAAAAAGTATGTAGATCCAATAGATGGCGTGTTTGTAAGGGAATATGTCTGTTTACTAAACTAGTTCTTGAAGGACTGTTGAGTCCAACAATACATTCGTGGTACAACCTAAAACCACTGAAGCTTTTTTTGAGCTCTGTTTCAATGAAGTATACCATTATCTGCAACGATAATTTTGCAGAGACTACAGAAAGCGTCCAAATGTAAAACACTGAATCTCGACTTGTACATAACAAACTTGAGCATTCACGATCGAGATACTCGCCATGTTACTGCTCTAAAGGTGCCTTCACATAGGAGTGACCATTTCAAAAAATCTCCATTATATAATGCCATCAATTTTTGTAACAGACCGGCACCTTCTATAAAGTGGATGAATTCTGAAATTATGTTCAGTAATAAAGTTAAAAACTTATTACTGGACAAATTTTACTTCAGCCATAAGGAATATTTAGAGGATCCTTCCACAGGAGAATAATAAGATATTTAATCGCTGTAATATTTCACTTATTGTTTTTGCTTTAGTTTCAGAGTTCTGACTGGAGATTTCATCTTATTTTATATATATGACTACGGCAAGCAAAGTTGCCACATTTTTATTCATTATTTTATATGTGTGTAATGTTTATCTTTGTATGTGCAAATAAAAATCTCAACGAAAAATGAAAATGATAATCTCCTACCATGTAGTAGCGGCAGTATCATTCAATTTGATAATTTTAATTTCTATTTTAATCTTTTTACTTATAGTGATGTACTGTAATACTTGTGTTTGCTTTTTTCATTAATTTATTTAATTAATCATTAACCTACCATATATTCGCTATGTATCACAAATGGTGAATAAATATTATTATAACAATTGCCACAATCATCGCAGTTTCTGTATCTTTGATCATTTGACCATTGCCAACAAATACCTAGAAAGATTGGTCACACCAATTCCATGTAAATGTGACATGGACAGTTAGGATAGGTTAGGTTAGGTCCAAAGTGAGTGGATCGACCCTCCACCGCAACCCGCAAGGGTTTATTGTGGCTCACACTACATGGACAGTAACTTTTGAAACACGAGTACCAAAAAACCAATATGAAAAAAAATGCCAACAATCGAAACAAACGTGAAGTATGTAACCGGTCATATCATTCTTACTGAGGTTAAATTATTATTCATTTAGTTAGTACAACAGAACTTAAGAAGAGCCAAAAATGCTTTAACAAATTGAAGGAAATAAGAAATGCCCCAAACGCCCTCGTTATTGCGTTGTCATAATCATATATCCCCAATAACTAGTAGTTATCGAATTAATAGTATTCAATATGGTTTTCATATCAATAAACTTCATCTGACTGTTCCAATTTTGTTAGAGGACACCTTTTACATCCACACTTGTCTTTTTGGGTTACAATATAATTTGAATCAAGACATCTGAGCAAGGAAGCCTCTACAAAGTTATAAATATAATGACTTACCATAATACCCTTATCTTTTTCTAGCGATGCGCTAACCATTTCTTTTGGGACAAAATTTTGTTTAAATGAAGAAGCCCTATCTTCAGGTTCATCATTTTTGTGAAAATCTATAACAACGGCTGTTCCACATGCACTCAGAATACACACATCATCACTGAAAACAAAAAAAAAATTACAAATTCAATTAAAAAAGGTACACATATTATCTCACCATATACTTGCCGATTCTGTATAGCCTAAAACCGCATTACAATTCAAACTACGTGCGTGAGATCTTATTTCAGTTCGTAATTCTGACCACCAGGTATCCCTTGACTCAGGCTCTTCAATATTGGAGATGGTTTCCAACCTCTTCACAGATCTAGCGCTAACCACACCACCTTAAAGATCAGTAAATTTTTGATAGAACTGTCAGATTCCTGACGAAAATCCATCGTAAACGTATTTGATACACTTGAGATCATGAGATTTTCACTAAAAAATTTAGAAAACCACAACACATGTCTATGCCATTATGTATAACCACGTGTTACGGTTTTTAAAACTGTTTAGTGAAAGTATTACAATGAAGTGTATCAAATACATAAAGCACCGAATATCACCAAAACATATTTAATGATCAGGACTGTAACAAGTCCGAGGGACTCACCTATTTGTGATAATAAATCTGGTGGAACTTTCAAAAGTGTCAAAAAAGGATACTCCAACATATCAAAATTTTCCTGATGTATCTTGGAAGGTAGAAGATTGTTCCTCATAAAATATCCACTAGGCTGTCCTCCAGATTTATCGCTTCCAGTAAGGCTATTTCCTGGTGAAAGTATGGTTAAAACATTCATTAACACCTGCTTCATGTTATTCCTAATGAAGTACTTATTAGTATTTGAGGTTCAAACAAGAATGAAGGGAGGAAATGGAAAATCATAGTACAAGTGAGCTCAACAAGAAAAGCTTTAGTAAATTACGCAGATCGTTTTTTTTTTCTCAAACATGCATCACACAAAAATGCAAGTTCTTCATACGGTGGAACGTAACTGGAAAAATTATAGAACTGTTTTTGATACTTCTTTAATGATATAATATAATATAATCCGTTCGAATATAAAATAAACCTATTAGTTCAAAAGCGTCCCTTTGGAGTCATGGGCCTTCACGTTCTCTAGTTTCCATGCAACATGGCTTCTCAACAGAAATCGCGTTTGCTTAAAATGTTGTTGGGTGTACATCCAATTGCAGGTACTTGAGTACTACTTCAAAAAGTATCAATATAATGTAAAATGAGCAATTCGATGTAAGCCGTTAAATTCTGACAGTTTTGTAGGCAAGTATGTTGCAATATTTGGCTCTACATAATTTTGTAGTAATGTTCAAATAGGTTTAACTACGAAAGCAGTTATTGTCAAAGTAGTGAAAGTGACAGATTTTTCAAAATAATTGAACCACAATGATTTTCGTAAGTACCAACAGACATTTAAACAAAGTTAAACATGAAGATGCAACGATTATGCAAGCATCTTATACTCACTTTTTCTAAGGAATCCTAAGAGTAGAAATAATATCAAACAAAAAGAAAATGTAATTTTGATTTGAAAAACTTGATTGGTATTCGTTCTTATTAAATGGGGTTTTATAAAAAATACTGAATGATATTTTGGTGGAATCGCTTTGGGATCAAGTCATTATTTAAATAATGAAATTGTATCTACCAAATAAACCACTAGAAATTTATTCAGCATTTTAGAGGTTTTCAACAAAGTTTACGAATGGTCGCTCATCTGGTCCGATTGGTTTGCTGTATTTGTCAGTTGTGCATTCTAAATAAATGGTCAAACATTGTAACAAATATCTTCGGTATTTTAAATAATTGCTTTATCATCATCACACATCAGCTTGATTCGACCTGAACTAAGCCTGAACTACGTTAGGTTAGGACAAAAGACACTGGGTCTATTCGACCCTCCACCGCAACCCCACAGGGTTTATTGTGGCTCATACCTATTCACATTCTACCAAATAAACCCAGCTTCTTGAGTGAATAAACGCCTTGGAGTGAGCCAATCCTGGAAGATTTATGGACTTTGTCAAACAAACATTGAACACCTGGTTCAATGTTTGTTTGAAAAAGCCTCAAGTGAAGCCAATGACAGGTTCTGGTCCAATGGAGCTGCTTGCAGCACCCTCCTTTCCAAGTCAGCAGCCCCAATGCCTTCCAGGCCAGTAGTCGAAGCCAGGAATCCAGACCAGAGACAATTTGTTGAGTCTTCCAATGGAGGAGAGTCGTTTTTGGTAATTTGCTACCAATTTAGACATTGTTCGGTAGGAGCCAAGAGTTTTCAACGCCGCTTGACTATCCGAGAATATTTTTATTGACTTGTGTATGAGGTTAGATTCTACCAATCTCTCAGCACACAATTCAATAGCGTAAATTTCCGCAACGGCAGATACAGTTGCATAGGTCCCTACGCAGGTTGATAACTCTGTCCTGGGTCTGCGACTGAAAACACCTGCACCAGAACCTGAAGGTGTTAAGTGTTATACAAATGCAACGAAGAGCTGAACGACTTAAACGAAACATAGATAAAATATGTGATGGAATTGACCAATGCTTGATGTATAACCGTAACTTCTTCCGGTTTTGTAAGCTGGGTAGTGAATATCCCACAATAAAGTGTTGAAACGGAAATTCGCTGAAAATTATGCGATATGGCAAACACTACACATACAAGTCGGTGTCTGTTTCAAAACTTCATGTAAACATGAAACTCATTGTGAGTTACATGCCTGTAACACAAGAATAGTAGTCATCTGATAATGAACCGGTTGCGGTTCCCTACATCAGTTAGTATTTACCTCGATTTCAACTTGTTCAATAAACTCCGAAATGAGGTAAAAATATGGATAACAAGAAATTTAAAAAATAACACTCGTGACGAATATAAATTTTGCCAATAATATTAATGAAACAATGAATTGTTTTGTAAGAAAATTTCCCTGCCTCAACTTCTGGTTCTCATCTTTTTTAGTTTATTACGGATTTGTATTGACCAAGCTTTAACATAAATTTCTGACCGCTAAGTATAAGCCAGTTATCGTTTCATTAACTTTTGATAAAGCGGGCGAGCCCATTTGATTGTATCATATAGATTTTCTGTTAACATGCCTTTAAATTGAATGGAATGAAATTGTGATGAACAAGTAAATAATTTGTTGTGAGACCGATTCAATAATTGGTTCCAAATTCGCTTCACATGCTGGGAACTGTTCAGATTTTATCAAAAGTGAAACCAACCAATAAGAACAGATTCACGACCCTTTTATAAACAACATCTATGTCATGTGTAGTTACCTTAAATTACATAAGTTGATCGAATATGAATCGGAACTATTTTTCAAAATGTTTATTAAATTCGATGTCAATTTCAATTCATCAGCACTGTACAAATATTTAATCAGATTTGGAGATTTTCATTTTATTCTAGAAGTAGGAAAAGGTGATAACATTTTCCCTTACAAAGACGCCACCTATGAGATCAACAGAAAACTCAAACAAGAATATTATTACTAGAGTTTTTTCCCAACACCAAATCGTTAACAACTCGACACGTGTTTCGATCACCAAGTGATCATCTTCAAAAAGGAAGATTAAAACTAGAAACTAATGCGAAGCTAACCTTATTTATGCTCGCCCCATCGTGTCAGCTATTGGAGCCCCTACCTACCAAATAGCAAAGTGGCTCACTAAGGAATTTGAAACCTTATCTATTGCGGAACCAAGTGAGTTCATACAACATACAAAAACGTGGTTCTGCAAGAAGGTGAGATTTTGGTTTCTTTTGATGTTACTTCCTTATTTCCTAGCGTCCTAATTCCACAGACCTTGCAATACCTCAGGGAATTACTAGAGAAAAATAATTTCAATAATAACGAAATCGATGAATTCGTTTCTCTTACTAATTTGTGTATGAAACAAAATGGGTTCCAGGTAGAAGTTTGCTTTTATGAACATGATCAGATTCGAAATGGAAACCAAAGAAAAGTCGAAGTATTTTCCTAGGATTGGCTAAGGTATATGAATGATATTTTCGCGATATTCGATACCAAAAACTCGAATATTGACGACTTTGTTTCCATTTTAAATAATAGATGACCATCAATAAAATTCACGTATGAGTTAGAAAATAAGGGACAACTACCATTTCTTGATTACACCTGGATGGTTTACCTGTATGGGATACCTATATAGCATAAATAGGGTTAGCATCGCATTAGTTTCTAGTTTTAATCTTCCTCTCGGTGATCGAAACACGTGTCGAGGTGTTAAAAATAACGATTCGGTGTTGAGAAAAAACTCCAGTAATATTCATTACTACACCAAAGGTTTCAAACAGTGCATCATAAGTCAAACAAGAATATCCTTTTGAAGCCTTTTTGATATAGTATACTCATGGTTTGAGTTTTCTATTGATCCAGCAGATGGCGCCTTCGTAAGAGAAGATATCTTCGCCATTTTCTATTCAGGGTTGTTCTTGTCAAGGCAGAATAGTTCAAACATTGTATCCATAACCCGGTCAGTATCACTGATGAAATCCATGGCAGATTGAAACAACTTTGTCTGTACAAGATCATAGAAGCATTGCATTTGAGCTTTGGTAAGATCTAATAAGAGGGTTGAATGCATACGTCCTGGTTAGTGATCGTTTTGAAAGATGTTTGTTTCCTTCAGCTTTCACCCCACCAAATGTAAGGCTCAAACATAATGATACTGTATCATGACTGTGTTTCAAATAATCTATTCTATAGGCACTCATGTGGACAGTAATTTAAATTAGGATCTCCATATCGACAATTTATGTGCTCAATATGTGAAAAAATTCCCTCCCTAACATATCGCTTAATATAATGACTTGGGAATTCATTTCTGAATAAAACCTTGACTGCAGACTCACTATTTGTATGTTTTTATATCAAAGTGATTCATAAATTATAATTATTATTATTATTATTGAGACCTCTTTCTTCACAATCCGCTATCAGAAATGATAAACTTAGACTCTCTTTCATATTTGATCAACTCTCTAATAAACTATTCTACCTACAATATTTCCAACATACCTTTGGGTGTGATGCTTAGATCGGAATCTGAAGATCTTCGGTGAACCAAAGTGCTGACCCTAGCTGGAGACTGCTCGACTTTTTGATGCTCTGCGTTCTGTTGACAGGTACTTCGGTTTTGTTCTTGTTGTGGTGACATGTAATGCCTGTTCGAGGTTATGCATGCATGCTTAGTATTGCTACAAGAATTGCCTTGTTCAATTTGTGTGTTGATAGGCAAATTATCGGAAGAATTGTTAGTATCTGTTAAATCAATTTGGGAAGGGGAGGGTAAGGATACATTCGATGACACAGACAACTTGTCGCCTTTGTGTTTGTAGCCGAATATTCGATTGATGATGCTACTTTTGTCTTTCTTATCGCTCTCGCTTGATTTTCGACTGCGAGGCAGGAATCCTAGCCTTTTACTTTGGTCGTTCAAAGAGGATTCATGACTGAAGGTTTTTCGATTCAGATGAAATATCTTCAGTTTTTGGGTTAATTTTCTCTTCTTCAGTGATTGATCCAACATTGTCTTAACCAACGGCTTATTCAACTGGTTATCAGAAAAACAGTTCTGCCTTTCTTTTCTAAAAAGATCATTCTGAATTTGAGTTGAAGATAGTTCATCCAAACGGCAAGGATGTGACTGCCGTTTCTTGAAGTACTCGTTATTATACAATGAGGTGAAAGGTACTCCAAGCACAGTGTCCTTTTGTTTCAGGTAATCAGCAAAGGAAACAGAACTGGCAGATTTGGGCATCCTGGGTCTTGCCTGAGAGAAATTGAACTGGCTTTGAGGTGACGTTGATTTTTGGTTGAACGACATTTTACTGGTGTTGGATTTGGCTGAGGGGGATGTAGGCGGTGTATAAGTTCCCATAAGACTAACCTTGTCTAGTAACATCGCCTGTATAGCAGTCTTTATTAGACCTTTACTTTTTAGTTCAACGCCCTTGATGGCTTCAGGGACTATGCCCTGAAAAGCAACGTCAGGAATATCTTCAACAGTGTTTCCTACTTGATTATTCTTGTCTCCTGATAGCTCATTATTGTTGTCTTCATTAGCTGCCTGTTCAGTTGGAGTTCTGTTGAGGTTAGTCTCATCAACATCACTTTCAACTGTAGACCCTCCAGCGAACTCCTCTAATTTATATACATTATCCGAAAGAGAATTGAGAGAATCCACCCTATTTGGACCTAGTGCAGGCAAAGAGAACTGTTTCTGTAACCGTGGTCTGCTTTGCTTCAGCTGCAGCATTTCAACATCTTTAATTATATTACTAATAGTATCAAGATCATAATCACTGACCTTGTAGTTAAGGTCATCGTCATCATCTGAGCAAGAACTACTACTCTCACTACTTGAGAAACAACACTCGCTATCTGAACCGATTAAGGGCTCTGACACAGTTTTTCCAAGTAGGTTAGCCAGTGGCTCAAGTTTGTCCAGAGTGTTCTCGGTTTCTTCTTCATCATTCGACGAACCCCTAACCTCCAAAATGCAGCTCAAACTATTGTGAGCATGAATTACTGATCTGGCCAATACCTCGGCCATGAAATTTGAATCGCTAGTAGATCTCTTGAAGTGTTTCTTTTTTGTGGGGACCGACAGACTGTCATCGCTCTCTTCCCCGATACTATCAGCTAGTTTTGACTTCAACACCAACATTTTCTTCGACAGGGAATAGTTATGAGGATTCTTCAACTTTTTTATTTTATCGGACAATCCATAACCTGATTTTCCTCTTTCGCTTTCTTGTTTAAACAGCGTCTTCATCGACGAAGGCTGTGAAATGTTTTCAGTTGATCTTGACGACCTCTGATTGCCAGAATCGAGAGAGGAATAGAGTCGTTTCGAAAGTTGTTTATATTTTGGTGTCGTAAGGTTTGGTAATATATCATATGGTGGGAAAGGAGAAGGAAATGGGAAAATTGCGTTTGGCGTAACGTTCAAGCTGAAGCCTTTGCCGTCACCAACGAATTCAAGATAACTTTTAACATGCCTGTATACAGAAAAATTCAGAACTGTACTATCTGTTTGAGTGGCAAGATACCATATTAGTAAGGTTAGGATTTCCATTCTGGCGCCAACTGGCATTATATTTTTACATTTAAGTTGAAGATTAGTGTTTATCATGAATGAAAACTTTCTCAGGAAATGTTTGAAATTTTTATCTAACAAAAAATGTATTCAAATTCATCAAATATGTTACTTATGAAATAGATTAATCATATTTGTTAAGCAGTGGTTTTCAGTTCATTTGATAGCTGTTAATTTTGATTATAGATAGTACACTCCGTTTCTTTAAAGAATTCTCTCAATCCCTTCGCTATTGTTTCGTTATCAGTTATCCTAATCTGTTTTGTTCGCTTTTATTGGGTCCTTTTTATCAAGTGAATAAATTATTCTTCCAATAGTTTTTATGTGCTGAGTGGGAATCTCAAATGGTATTTTCGATGTTTTCAAATGAATTCTTTGATATTTTATAGAATAACACAATTGTAATTTATTGATGAATACTGTTTTTGTAATCCTACCTAGGCAAGATAATAAAATTTCTGGATAATTGGATTTTGACAAAAAAGAAGTGTATTTTAGAGGGCAAACATAATAAAAATGAACCCAATCTAATGCCGTATTTAAAACATCATTTTATAACAGTATATATCAGAAAAAAGGAAAACAGTATAGTGGAAATAGTATATGCTTATAGGAGTATGTTTACAAAATAAAAATTACTGAATAAACATTTTGGCCAGAGTCAGGAAAGATACTACTCCTGCTCATCTTTTGAACACAAATTGTTTACAATTTGATTTTGCCGGAATTATCAAGTCAAAAGTGATCTGGATAACTGAAGATCCGGATAGTTGAAGTTCGGATAATTGGAATCCTATCGTATAAGTAAATTTTCACAATGGATATTAAAAAGTCAAGTAACATATTTGAAGAAATGTACTTTGAAGTTAATAATGGGCTTGTTTTATGCTATTGAAAATGATACTGGTTTGCTTATAGACTGATCAGGTTAGGGGTATATTATACTTATTGAGCCTAATCGGTCCCACACCTCTTTATATTTGCAGAAAAAAGAAAAATTCGAGAAGCAAGAATTTAAATTGGCCGAGTGTCTGTTGAACAATAAAACTGATCGTGTCTACAGCGGTATTGCCAAGTGTCAATTATTTCAACCAAAATACGAAGTTATGAAACATTACAAAGAGTACATTGTCTCATACAATCAAGAGACATAGCTGACCGGGTGGCATGAATGCATAATTGATTTATTTTATTTTAGATTTAGTTGTCGGAAGTGAGTGTGATTTTACTTTGAATCACGAATGAATCAGAAACTGTTTATACGCTCCGTGAATTTTACAATTTGGCAATGTTCATTATTTGTATTGTTCCAATTGGTCAATCGAATAAGAAGCTGGACTAGGCCCGTGACGTCACGGGCCTAGAAAATACGATTTTTAATAATTAATTACGGGAAAACAACACTATTTAGAGAGCTGAAACAAAGTACACTATTTTTCAATTTGAAATTACTACCAAATGAAATGTAAACCAAAAATCATGAAACAAGCCCATTGTATTGCATCAACATATGAGCTCTCTAAAAAATATTAAACACGATTCTTTACATCAAAAATATACTTGAGAGTATAGGCATTAAAATATCACACAGCTACAACCATGGATTTCTATTTTGAATTTAATCTTAACCTGACTAATATGGGTTATTCTAAAAAAGTGTGAGCTGTCCAAACTTTTACAAATCCTCCTAAAACTGTAAAATGAATATGAAAATGATACCTGAGAGTTTGATTATTTGTAGCAATAATATGAGTTTCTCAAGAGATTATTTTATCTCGTGTCATCTATTCCAATATTGGCAACAGTAGGAGTACTGGTTGGTCAACACAAAAATTACCCCTCTAAACATTGTTGAAGAAATAAATATTACAGCAGGTAACAGATTCATTGTCCTTTATTAGCTATAACCAATGTTGCCAAATGGTGAAATAGAAACGAATCCCTTTAAATGTTGAATGCATTATTTCATTCCTCTTTTTTAAGTATTTAAATACTTTTTTGAAGAAAAAGGTTGAAATGATCAGTTTGAAATGCGTTGTTTTAGAGCTCTTTTATGAAAATTACTTGATTTTCGTCAGGAGAAACATTCGCCATTATCATCCATGATAATAATTATTCAATTTTCACAATAAATTTTATTCAAGACGCTTTTCGCTACACGGTACCTTCATCAGTTGGACTTTCTGCATCATCAGTGATGCAGAAAGTGTGGTGTTCAGAAATCATAATTATTATTATGTAAGGGATACTAAATAATATAGTTGCCTAGGTAATAAATAAGATATCCTTTCCATTACATCCTTGAGTCAATTACAGTGTGATCACAAATATCTTGTATAATTACAGTTGAGAACAGTAAATAGTGGTACTCACTCCTCTTTGATGTCATCACTGCCAGTTGGCACACAGATATTGGCTGACTTAACAAGAGTTACAGCACTTCCAATTCCTCTAGCGACTATACCAGATTCTCCTTCCAAATCATAACTCTGCTTATAACCTACTACGGCATTTCCACCCAATTCTAGGGTCTTTAAGCCAATTTTCCGCTGAAGTTCTCCGGATAGTTTAAAAAATAAAGTTTGCCTTGCTTCATTTGAAGCCCTTGGTGTTCTAATTTTGTCAATCCACTGGTATTCTGGATCATCAGACACTACCAATTCCTCTACAAATCCATGAACCAGTTTAGCATGATATCCAAGAGGCACAGTTGGGGCTGCAATGTTACAACAATTATCAGTCAACATTACTTTCAATGTTTGTTGATCACAAATATTATGACAGAACTTGGTGCCTGAATCTACTTTTGAAGATACAACTTCTCAAAAGTTGAAAAATTCATTGTTTCAGGAACTCACGGTAATAAAAATTTGTGAAATAACAGCTTCCTTTCACAATGACATACAGTGGATCTTTTCATTGGTTCAGTTGGCAGTGTTACAAAATCAAACTAGAAATGAACGTTATATCAAATGTATGTGGCTTTCAAAAGACAAGAATTATCATGTGTCTTTCACAAGCTTTCAAAAAAGTGATGAGCTTTTTGACTTCTAAGTAAAACTTTCGAAATTTGTCAACATAATTTTCACTTCTCATCTTTAACTTTCTGATATATTGTCAACAAATAATGAGGAGAACTCTTCTGAAATGACAATATCATTTATAAGGAACATGATTCCATAAATGGGGTTATTTAAGTGAAATAGAGGTTTTTAATTCTGTGAAAACATTTGAAATAGGCAAATGAAGGTTCACATCATATGATCATGAAAGAAATGTGTCAAAAAGTTTTTATTACCGGATGAGTTCATCAAATGGTCAATTTTTAAACAGTTTTGACTTTTCATTGGCTTTATCTCAGAAAGTAGACAGGAGGAAAAGTTTTGACTTCAGGGGCAGAAATACGTAGGACTATTTTTTTTTCAAAAACCAAGATATGCTGTTTAAACTAATATTTATCCAATTATCATTGAAAACTGATGTTATTTAAACTCTACTCACAATAAAAAAATTGAACCCCACATGAAGACTGTCTGAATCGATTGAAATCAGAAAATAGTTCGACTTTTACTGTAATATTCACTTCTCCTCTGATACCATGCATTGTATCATAAACTGGTAACCACCCTGATATTTCATGATGGGTTGTACTATCTCCGTTAAATCCATACTTCATCACCTGGCCATCTACTGGCAATAATAAAGGATTCAAATTCAGATACACTTTGCCTATTGCATCGTTAGCAGAATATGTATCATGATCCATCAATCGTATTTGTAATGGTTCATCTTGTAGCTCAGAATCTTCAACCTTCGATGAAAAACAAATATATAAGAAACTTGATTAGAAGTGTCAATTACATTAGAGTCTCGGCTTATGATGAAACTTACTTCAAAGCGGTACCAGTCCGTATTCCACTGAGGATGCAATGATTTCCGACACACGTCAGTCTTGAAAGTGGTACCCCCTAATTTAATTTCAACATAAGCGTCTGTGGTATCACTCGATCTATCCATAACAGGAAGATTTCTTCCCGAGGAAATTTTTACTTTGACTTTTCCTGGCATTTTGTTTATAGACCCCACAATGTGTAAGGTTAAGAAGTAGGCTCAATTTGAGCAGTCACTTCAAGGATAGGAACTGAAAATTATAAACTTCCCAACATTGAATATTTCACACAATTACATTTACAACTGATATAAATATATTAGATCTATTTATTGTCTGTGAACTCAAAATCTGCAAAAAATGCGGTTACCTAAGGTCCATAAAACATATATTCAAATGTCATAATGAATATGAATGACGAAGATCGAGGAGAGGAACAAGGAATTTGTATGGCAAGTGGTGTCATTATAAAGTAAGTTCTCAAATTCAACTCATCGATGATGAACTTTTTGCGACAGTTGGAACTTGACTCCCATGGTCAGGGGGATGGAAAAATCTTAACCTCATTTTCTTTAATGTAATTGTTCCTATTCCTTATGTATCTAAATTCAATTGTAATTATCTGAAGCGGATTGTCCTCTAAATCATTGTCGGAGCAGTACACACAGTAACAGAGGAGCTGAGTACTCCTCAAGTGACACTACTTGAAAATGTCAAGTTGACCTGGCACTTCAATTTTCAGGGTAGAAATTATTATTAGGTGAAAGATTTTTTAACTAGATCTGTACAAAATATGCCCAACAGATTTCGATTCTTGCACCGCCTATCAACCTTATCAACATGTGTACAAAGTTGGGCCAATCTCATTTATCGAGTCGAGAGTTTTCGAAAAAACCAAAGTGAAATAGAACACGGGTTCTTATTTCTATCTGTATGATAATGGCTTTTGCTTCCACTGAGGCGCATTAAGCCAATCACAGGTTCTTATGCATATTGGAATTCGTGTATCATAAACAATGTTAGTAGTGTAACACCGACCTAGTAATAAAATGCAGTATGCTATTTGAGAATGACTATACTATAATTTCAAAATTGTAGACACTAAATTCTCAGAAATGACTGTGACGTTTTTGCTTTGATCTGTCTCTTGTAGTTGCGTTCGGAAATTATACTAAACAAATGAGGAAAAATGATGATAAAATATATAGAATCACAACCTGACAACAATATTTTCGTTTTAATGTAATAATATATATCTGAGAATTTAGTGCCTACTATTATGGAATTGTACTAGTGTTGAAAATGAGTAAATGAAAATGTATCGTTATACTCTCCATTGAAGATAGTATATGATGACGAACTAGTGTCAAAAATTACACCAATTTTGCAAGAAATACCTGAAACTAAACCATTTTTTTCAAAATATGACAAGTGACAACTAAAAATCTTTTTATAATTGTAATGTTGATCTCGAAAATAACGAACACAGAACAGATGTATCCCAGACAAAAAATCTACGTTATCGAAAGATAAAATGTATTAAACGAACACATTGATACAAGCTGAAGATAAAAAATAATGAGCCTAATGTAGTTTTACTCCATTAGTCTATCATCAAAATAAGACTATATTCGTCGTGGAGCTTTTGGCTCAGGGTGACGCAAATATCCGAAAATATAAGGAAAACCTCAGAGTAATGATATTCTTTATTACTCTGAGAGGAAAACAGGATAAAATATCGGGATCTGCTCTCGTAACCCCGCAAATTCTACTTCTCAACAACTCTGTAGTAGTTCTGATTGTTGAAATTCTTGGTGAAAAAAAAAGCAGGAGGCCATTATTTCGGCTTCTCAGGATGAGTAAAATATTTTTCCTCTGTGATCACACTCAGCGGTGTGGTCATTGGTTAATGATGCTGGCGCGCCCTCTAGAGTGTATGGGGACTAAAAGGAGGTTCAACTGAATCAATGTCCTTGGAAAAAGAAAATTATTTTATAAAGCTGCAGGTACCAAAAATTATGAGGACAGGTAAAATATCGAGATGTTCTCATCTATCTAGACCACCCTGTTGAAATGGTTGTTCTGATTTTGTTGGAGTAAATGATGTCTTTCATCTTTTCTTAGCAGAGTCTATTTTTTCTTTATATGAATGAAAAACAAAACTTCTGTAAAATCTTTATTTTCTTTGTAATTAATACAAATAATATTCAGATGGAATTACTTGACAATAGATAGACCTTAAACGTGAAAATCATTTGACCTATATACAAATAATTACGCAATCTTTTGACACATATCTGATGAAACATTAAAACTTACTAAAATCTTAAAACTAAAACAAGGAAGAAATTGCAACTGAGCAAAATTTACAAACGAATAATGAAGTGAATTGATAGTTTTACTGCTCAATTTCGTCAAAAATTGTCATAAGTGAAGATATTTTTATTTTTATCAACTTTTTTGTCCTAAGACTGTTTGCAATTTTTATTTTCACAAAATTTGTTAATTTTGAATAATTTGATAGGGATAATGTTTAGACAACTACTGCACAAATTAAAAAAATTCAGTATGATGAACCATACAGTCATAACAATAGAAAATGTGGCACAGAAGCCAACTGCAGTAATTCAACAAACCGATTTAGGAAACAGATGAGGCATTTATTCTTTTTTTATTTGAGTGGCAGCCTGCTTGGCCTGGTGAGCCTGAAGCACAGCAACAGCTTCCTCAACCTTGTTCTTGAGGGATTCATTGTGTTCCAACATATGCAACAGCTCGGTGTTGTCAATTTCCAGCAACATTCCAGTAATCTTTCCAGCCATATCAGCATACATGCGTTGGATGAGAGGGAACAATCTTTCGCCCAACATCTGCTTTTGCTCTTGTGGAGGAGCTGAGGCCAACATAGTTGAGGTCAGTGGTTCCTGGCCTTGGATATGGACAGCTTGTTGAACAGGAGCAGCAGCTCCTTGCAAAGTTAAGGCTTGTGGTGGATTTCTCATGTTAGAGGTGTATTTGAAGTTTGTTCGACTTCCCGTAGCAGGTACAACACCTGAAATTTATGGAAAATATTCAGGTGAAAATAATACCAATAAAAGCCCTTAATAGTGGTTGATTCAATCATGTTTTTCATCATTACGACTAATACTGTAATTGTACAATTATTTTAGCAGACAATATCCCTCTGTATATCAATTTAAAATTTCAATTGTTGATTTGGTAATTAACATAGCGAACTTGGTTAGCCAAATGCACATCAAGAGACAGCAATTCTGGTAAAGGCAAAGTGTTTTCATCAGTTGTTACTGATTTTGCAATGAACGACTTGTGAAACTTACAAATTTATAGAAAATAAAATCAGATCTGATTTAATTTATTTACAAAAGAATCGTCGGTAGCTTAGAAAATAACAGTATTATCAGTTAACAGTAATTGAGTCAAGAAAAATGGCATCACCTTCATTTACTCAGGCTTGTTCTTCAAAAACAGTTCAATCCAGCATTTGTAGGTCAGCCTTGCACCTATGGCGGGTCGAAACAGAGCTATCTGGTATTGGATAACAAATACTTTTGTCTTTGGGCTCTGATTTCATCAATTTCATTTATTGTTTACTGATTTCATTAATTTTATTTATTGTTTAAAGCATTTATTAAATTTATTTTCACTTCAGTTCAAAATAATTTGTTTTTGTATTCTTTTAATTTCGTATATCCTTTTCAACTAACTCATCCAATTTATTTCCATTATGTTATTTTTTAATATTTTCAATATTCTCATTACATTCATTTTTGGTTTATTTAATTTTTTATTTTATTCTATCAGTCATCATTTTAGACAATGGAAGTCCCAACATTTTAATCAGTTTTATTTGTCTCAATTTTTTTAATAAACCCCAACCAAAAATAAAATGAATATTACCTTGTCCAGCTAATGGACGTCCCTGCATGGTTTGTGGTTGTTGGCCTGTAATGGGTCTTGGCACGCTAATATTTCCGCGCATGGCAGTGGATTGATTTGGAGGCCTAGCTGCTGCTCTGTATGTGTTGGGCATGCCTGTGTAAGCGGCAGTGCCTCCTTGACCAGCGGGTCTCACCGGTGTCTGGGCAGGCCATCTTGGACTTGTACGGATCTGTGCCATTTGAGCTGGACCGTAGAAACGCTGGGAGGTGGGAATGGTGGGTACGAAGTAACCGCTTGAAGCTCCCGGCTGGATAAATTGTCCCATCTGGTGCATACGCATATTTGCCATGCGTTGCATATACTGGGAAGTCAGATGAGCTTTTCGGTCTTCTTTACGCTGCGCTAATGCTACATATAAAGGCTTGGACCCTACAATTCTGCCGTTCATTTCGGTGACGGCCTTGGTGGCTTCTTCTGGTGAAGAGAAGCAGACAAAACCGAATCCCTTGCTTCGGCCCTCTTCCATCATGACTTTGGCAGATGTGATTGTTCCGAATGGTGAAAATTCCTTTCGCAAACGTTCATCGTCAATGGTATCATCCAAGTTTTTAACATACAAATTGACACCTTGATAACGGTTCAATCTTTCCATTTTCAATGCTTCGAAGCGACGTTTCAACTCCTGTTGACGCTCAGCTTTCTTTTGGGCACGGCCAACATATAGCGATTTGCCCTCTATAATTTCCTTTCCTAAAAAAAAAGAAAATTCTAAATGAAAGTTATTAACAACTCCCTCATCATACACCATACGAATCAGCGAAATCTTATAATTCTAATGAATGATAATACATAAATTCATTTTTTTAAATATCTGTTTTCCATGAAATACATTTATCAAGTATAAATTACACAAGTTTACACTGTTTCATTATTCGTACTTTACCTGTGATACACTGTTTGGAACATTTGATGTAGTAATGAATATTACTGGAATTTTTTTCCCAACACCAAACCGTTATTTTAACACCTCAACACCTGTTTCGATCACCAAGTGATCATCTTCAAGAGGAAAATGGTCTTGAAGATGATCACTTGTTGATCGAAACACGTATCGAGGTGTTAGAATAACGATTTGGTGTTGTGAAAAAAACTCCAGTAATATTCATTCATACTTTACCTAAAATTACATCACAAAATTCTTCCAGAATGAAATTGGCTGTTGCAGCAAATATCTTTTCACAGATATCTTGAGTTTACTTACTAGAAGATGTTTCAATGTCAATTGGTAATGCATTGAAGAGTTTTTAACCATTATAGAGTGTTTTTTTTGAAGAAGGGTATTTAGCAAGATGGGCATCTAACATTTGTATGTTCAATATAACCATGTGCTTCTTTAATTGAAGATAACATAACTTTTAAATAAAACATATTTGAATTCTTGAATGTTTCAGCCATAATGAACCCTTGCTGGTTGCACAGAAAGATCAAATAGGTTCACTCCTTTTGGATCTAAACGTTTCAGAAGATTCAATTTAACTTGAATGGGCCTTTACACTGAAATAGGGATAACCGCCAAAGGTGAAAAATTCCAGTCCAACTGAGGATGATACTATGTAGTGAAACGTGTATTGGAAATCAAGTCTATATTGTGAAAATTTGTGTAATTATCATCATGGATCGTGTTAACATTGTATATGAACTTGGCAACTTGCATAATATACTTTTTTCTTTTTCCTGTATGGTAGTTCTGACTGTTCGTGCGACATTGCCAACTTCTTTTTGAGGTCATTTTAATGGTTAATTCCGAAATTAAGAAGCAGTTCATATTACAAAACAAAAAAATTATATTTGGAATTTGGTTATTTTTGATTGAGTTTTACTAATTGGACAGTTGTTGTATACACATTCATGTACTTTTTTCTGCTCTACAAGAATCGTCACTGCGTAATTTTTCATTTTGGCAAGAAGATAATGTGAATATGCCATAAAAAAAATGATAAGGTGTTTATAATTCTAATAATTTCAAAGTACAATTATTCAAAGTGTATGATCAAACTGTTCTCCATTAACAGCCATTCTTGAGTATACATTAGTCTCGAAACCTCTTGACTGACCAATACATGAATTGTACAATTATTTTAGCAGACAATATCCCTCTGTATATCAATTTAAAATTTCAATTGTTGATTTGGTAATTAACATAGCGAACTTGGTTAGCCAAATGCACATCAAGAGACAGCAATTCTGGTAAAGGCAAAGTGTTTTCATCAGTTGTTACTGATTTTGCAATGAACGACTTGTGAAACTTACAAATTTATAGAAAATAAAATCAGATCTGATTTAATTTATTTACAAAAGAATCGTCGGTAGCTTAGAAAATAACAGTATTATCAGTTAACAGTAATTGAGTCAAGAAAAATGGCATCACCTTCATTTACTCAGGCTTGTTCTTCAAAAACAGTTCAATCCAGCATTTGTAGGTCAGCCTTGCACCTATGGCGGGTCGAAACAGAGCTATCTGGTATTGGATAACAAATACTTTTGTCTTTGGGCTCTGTTAATGATGTATCACACTTAGTATTTTCCTTATTCAAATTCTAAGGGTATTGGTCACCAAGTAAATGGAAGGAGATAGGACAGTTAAGGTTATGATGAAAAAATATACCTCTTGAATTAAAAAAAGACCTGTTTGTGCAGTTCTTTCTAAAAAGTGAGTCATAAAAATATTTGATTTTGGTATCTTGCAATGTATATTCTCATATGAGAACAAAGTAAAGTTTTCAAGTATTCTTTGGCTGCAGTTCTTTTTCATAAATATGTTTAAAGTGTGTTAACCAGCTACCGCACCCCTACGAACGACAACCCTCAGAAATCTAAACTTGTGCGAGCTAAGGACTAATGATGCCTTACCTTTTAACATGTGATTCCTAACACGGGTTGGACGATAGCAAGTAAAAATCGAGCGTTCAGCCTGCGGCTTAAACCATCGACTCTCACAACGGTCGATTGACTAAGTGTACAAAGCACCCACGTTGACCCGCCCGGCTACCGACCGACTTAAAACCATTATGACCTGGTCATGGGGATCGGCGGTGCGAACGTCGAAGCGGGGGTCGAGGCGACCATTCGCGCTGCACCATTTGCAGGCACCAGGCAGTCACGTTCGCCCCGCGACCAGTAGTGCGACAGTGAAATGTTTTAATAGAAATTATCTCGATATTGCTTAGAAAGTAATAGTTTTTTGGTTCAAGACCTAATATTTGGAAAAGATTGTAGAGTACATGATTTGAATAAGAATCGGGGTATAGATGGAGAATGTCACAAGAAGTACGAGAAATACAGACTATATCCAGAAACATTTTTTGAGTATACCAGAATGAGTATTGAAACCTTTGATTATATTCTTATGAATATTCAACCAGAATTGGAGAAAAAAGTCAATCAAATAGAATTTTAAGTGACGCTGAAAAATTGTTTGACATTAAGGTATGCACTTACCTATCTATACATATCCATCTATATTAATGTACATTACGTAGTTATCTATATACCTATGTATAAAGGTAAGCTGATCATATTTTGGAGAATTACCCATAGTATCCATCAGTATGAACAACTTTTCGCAGGAAAGTATTGGTGGCAAACGGAGTTTTTATAACTAAATTTATTTGGAACTANCACGAAGCGGTAGGCAATATTATAATTATAAAAAAAAATTCATTGGTCCTACAAGCAGTTTCTGATGTTGATTATAAATTTTCTGTAATTGAGATTGGTGGAAAGGAAGACAAAGGGACGGAGGAACATTTCATTTTTCAAAATGTAATGAATTGTTTACTAACAATCGATTTAATATGCCACCACCAAAAATATTCCTGGGTCAAATATTTTGCTGCCAAACGTCCCAGTTGGCGACGAAGCCTATCCACTGAAAACGTATCTTATGCGACCCTTTCCATCTAGTAATTTAGATGATTCGAGAAAAATTTTTAATAAGATTGTCAAGAGCTCGAGTGACAATTGAGTGTGCTTATGGTATTATGACTAATAAGTGGCGAGTTTTCCTCAAAGCAATCGAAACAGACACCAAACATGCAAAACTAATTATTAAAGTTGAATGTCTACATAACATTGTAAGAGAAAAAGATGGAAACAGTGATCCCGATTTTAAAAGGTACATGCATTCTAGATCTACATCTAATCAAGTTATGACTTATCGACGGAACAATAGAGCTACGTTACATGTTATAGAAATGAGAAATCAATTCAAAGACTACTTTGCAAACTATGTGTGATGATTTATATCATAAATCTTACTGTGGTTGAGGTCACCAGCTAGCGCAACATAGCTGGCGCTGACACAAGTGTGTTATTATATACAAATACCTATCCAAATAAATATATAAAGTTGAAGTGACGAATGAAGTGTGACATTATTGATTAATTATTTGTACCTAAATGAATAAAAAAATACTACTTACCTTCAGAATCTGGAAATTTTATTTTTCCAAATAGCTGGTCTAGCTAGTATTTCAGCAATGAAAGTCTCGATGTTCATTTTTCGCGACGAAAACAACTAAACTCGTTTGATCACTGTACTATTCGCCGCGACTGCCGCTCGACTCCGTGGCTCGCGCCGTACCGATTCATGCCTTTGTTTTGCTCGCCCGCCGCGCCGCAAGTCGCCCACGCGGTTCTCTCCGTACATTTCGCCGGTCGACGTTGCGCGTGGCTTCATAAGTATAGTCGAAGTAACCGATATAGTAATCTTAAAGCTATCGGCGAACTCAAAGGTTCAAAAAAACCAATACAAAGAACTAATGCCGCAAGGAATTAGTCCACGTGGACTGAAGAATTGGCGGTTCGTATTGGATAATTTTTACTAACCGAGTTTTATGATTGGCTGAAGAGTCTTAAAATTAAATTTGAAGTCATGTTACGGTGACCAATAGAATGTGAGGATGGTTAGAAGAGTCGTGTCGTCAATGTTCAGTTCAGGAACTGATCGCGATTTGAGTGTTGAAATTCGATATTGGTGCAGTTATAATTACTTAAAATTTTTGTTATTTGTTCAAAATGTGGCGTCCTTGGACAAGTACTAATAGTAATAACGAGTGTGATAACAACGCAGACTTTTTCCTGTATAGTGATTCACCAAGCGCTGGTGAACAATGCGAAAAAGAGATACCAGTGAATAAGATTCGGATGCATTTGAATATTAAGAGAGTATGTTTCAATGAATATAAGAATCTACATGTCAAGTTTGGTTTCGAGGGAAAAAACTATTACAAGCAACATCAGATTTGACCAAAATTCCTTTCTCAACTGTACGTAAAATAGTCAAAAACAAACCTTATGAACGCAAGACGCTATTTGATGTGGAATTACCGAAACCTTTAGATGTTCATCTAAATATACGACTGTTACAAAAGCAATGAGATTCCTACAATTGAAATCATAAGGAAGAAATTGAATACTTCCGGCCATAACGTGAGTTGATTATTGAATAACAAAGTTAGTTAGCTCCCTAACTATTTTATTAAAGGAGAACTGCTGAAAGGTAGGGGGCACTATATTGTTTACTTGAACTATACATTACTATGCGTTTATTTCAGTTGCTAGAAGCTTCGCCGTCCGCAACGCGCGAATATTCGCATCAGCAAATGTCTCGTATCCAGGCTGTTACATATTTTGAATAGCTTTCGAGAGAGAGATCATAAGTTTCAACATTCCATTATAAGGCACCACCCCGTTCACACATGATTAACAAATTGATCAATTATTAAAAAATTGTTATTCAAAATTTAATGTGACCTACAAGTTTTGAATGAAATAGATTTTGTTTTCTTGATGCTAAGTTGTAGTTCAGAATATTTTCAGAGCATATGATAATTTTTTATAAATCTCAGTATTAAACGGATCAACTTAGGTGATGTTACAATCTGTAACTATCAGACTTGTACCATCCATTATCTTATTGAGTTGAGTATTTTTATCTAGGAATGTGTTCAAATCATCAACACAGATTAGAAACTAATGTGGACCCTTGTGGTACATCCATTATTATCTCTGTGAGAAAACTCAAGGTTATATTGGGTAGTTTGACTTTTTGACCCTAGGTCAAACGTCCAAATGAATAACAAAACAATATTTAAATATTCCAACACAAATTGTGAGATGACAAATAGAACAAACAATATGCGACGGAATTGGTCAATACCTGATGAAAATCGATGATAGTTGTATTTGATACATTTTATTGTTAAATTTTCACTAAACTGTGAACATGTGTTAAATCATACACTAGCTAATACTAAAACTTAGATTAATGAACCAGTATTGAACACATTTGCAAAAGTTTATTATAGTGAAAAACATGTTGCAGTTTTGTAAAATGTTTAGTGGGAAATCTCATAATGAAGTGTATCAATTACAATTGTAGTATCATTTCATAAAAACATGGTATCAAGTAAATGAAATCAAGTTCATAATTCGTATGCATATACTTTTTTTAGTGATACTATGTTAGTTGTGCTTCATTTCACTAAGTACTGATAATACATTTTCTCGGATAAAATAGTGTACTACCTTATTATGAATGTATTCCTTTCAGTTTAAAGAAAGTAGATCAAGGTCAAATTATTCAGGCCTGTCACTATGCAAAACAACTACTACATCCAACCTTGATTAAATAATGAAATTCTTACCATTCAATGCTTCTACTGCATTTTCCGCAGCTTCAGGATTTTCAAATGCAACAAATCCAAATCCTTTGGACTTTCCATCATCTTTGCTCATAATCTTGTAACTTGTTATCTTGCCATATTGTTCAAACATGGATCGAAGCTGATCTTCAGACAAATCTTCCCCAAAATTTTTAACATAGACGTTAGTGAACAGTTTTGCTTTTTCTCCCAATTCCTTTTCCCTTTCTTTGCGCGGAATGAAGCGGCCAACGTAGACTTTTTTACCGTTCAGCAACATACCATTGACCTTTTCTATGGACTTGTTGGCAGCTTCTTCGGTTTCAAAATGGACAAAACCATAACCTTTACTGGTGCCAGTTTCATCTTGAGCTACTTTACAGCTGAGAATATTACCAAAAGCTGAGAAAGTATCGTACATAGCTTTGTTGTCAATAGAACGATCTAAGTTTTTGATGAAAACATTGCCAACACCNTGTTGTCAATGGAACGATCTGAGTTTTTAATGAATACATTGCCAACACCAGACTTCCTCAAAGAGGGATCTCTCTGGGACCACATAATTCGAATTGGTCGGCCCTTAATCAAATCAAAATTCATGGTGTCCAAGGCACGCTCAGCTAGAATAACATAAAAATCATGTCACATAATAACTAAATAATGGTGAGTAAAACATGCTCATATAAACCAATATAACAGTAAATGTCAATAAATGACAGTAGATTCATGCCAACAAAGAGAATTTTCTACAGTCTCCATATGGAGCAATTGAAAAATGTAATATGGGGAAACTTACCATCAGCAGGTTGTTGAAAATTCACATAGGCATAACCCAATGATCGCCGTGTAATCAAATCTCTGCAGACGCGAATTGAGAGCACAGGTCCAGTGGTGGAAAATTTTTCGAAAAGCATAGCTTCGGTAATATCAGAATGTAAATCCCCGACGTACAGAGACGCCATGGGATAATTCGGGGCAGCAGGATTCATGTTTCAGTCGCTGCACTACAAATACACAGATGTAACCACCATATGAAACAAAAAAAGATTATCTTTTGTTATTTTCCTTGTTTTCCACTGTTTTTCGATTTTTTTGTGTTTTTAAATGATTTTTATATTTTTTTTGTATTTTTGAGTTAATTATTTCACTTTTGGAGTGGGTTGTGTCACAACCACAACACCACACGCTCTCACACTAGTGAAATAAAATGGAGCCGAGAAACAATTTTCACATGCTTTATATATGTGGAGGAAGTGACGTCACAATTCTATCTGTCAAAAATATTAGGGTAGGTATCCCATAAAATATTTCCGGAAAAACTCTTACTCTCTCTCTTTCTCTCTCTAGTTTCTATGGCTATTGCTTCCTGCGCCAGTTCTCCTGTTACACTGTATCTCCGTTGAGTGTTGTACAGTAGAATAGAATAGAATAGAGTAGAGTAGAATAGAGTGGAGTTTTATTCAACCATGTTACGTGAAAATACGTTCATGGCAGGTCTATAAACACAAATGAATATTCATCTTTATATTTTTCAGTTATTAACAAAAAGTTATACAGATTTCCACTATTACTTTTCAGCATCATCATTTTTGTAGAATCTACTCCCTTTTGCAAAAGCTTTTCATGACGTTTAATTCGTTATTTGCTTCATTAATTAATCGATGTGTTTGTCGTATTTTAGATTGGATGTAATGATTATTCCCAAATATTTCACCACGCTATTTGTTATTATACGAGTTGTTCCTATATTATCATTTTGTGGTTATTCGTGTCAGAGTATTTGCGTTGAAACGAAGTAAAGCAGTTAAACAAGTTTCTCCGAGATTTTGAATTTTATCGTTGAAAGAAAGCCTTACGATGTATCGACCAGATTTATCTCGAATAGTGTGAATTGTATAATGCACTTCACATGGTTTTTCTTCTGGGGATGAAATTTCAGAGCAGGTATTTTTTTCGATTTCCCAGAAGCAAGTAAGAGTAGAATCAATACCATAGATTGCTAGGCACTGCTACCTAGGACCACCCGAATTATTTTTTAGTTTGTAGTACATTTTTCAATAAAATCTTTCATCATTAAAAACATTTTTACTTATTTTATTGTCAATTTCGAATCGCTGTGAAGGTTTGAGCGTGACAAATTTTGGTCAGAGATTGGTGAAGTGGTTCTCCTTGCAATAGATACACCGAATTGACGTTGTAGATTTTATATATGCCTTTTGAAAACGAGTATAGGATATTCACGTTAAGAAAGGTTTCGTCTGGTTCTGCGAAATTCAGGTTCTAGGACGTCAGGATCATGCGCAGTTGATATAGAGCGTTCTGGTTTATTGAGGATAATTTCACACTGATGACTCTGTTCTGGTTTTGACTGCGAAATGATCCTAAACTGTTTTGAACCGTCCTGAATCGTTCTTGCTCTCGAGGCTGAACTGTTGAGAACTGTTCCCGTTGCTCATGCGCATTCATGTGGAAATTTGTTTGGGCTATTTGCTAGGATGTTTTTTCATTTATTTGATTTGAATAATTGATGATTGAGGGTAGATAACATTTGAGCTGACTATAGGGATACGCTACATAACAAAATGGACAAGACAAGTGTCCGAGACTATTTCGGACTGTTTGAGATTTTTAGTTTGTACGCACCATGTCTTGCGCAGTTTCCAAACGTTTTGGGATGTTAGAACCAGAACAAACCTGAAGAGAATAACGTCACAAGATGACAAGTTACGGCGTTGCCAACATGTGCACTATTTTGACCTTTCAAATTTTTTTGTAGTGTTTGTTTTATTGCTATTAACCTTACTATCAATTTACTTAGTTGAAATACAACTTTGTTGAGACTGTTTCGACAATGCTTCAAGCATATTGAATATACGCAGGTCGTATTAAAAAAGACTGACTGAAAGACTGAAAAGAAAAGGAAGACTGACAGTTTTCGAGTTTTTTTCGATTCGGCAACGTCTGAAATTTTATTATCAGTTGAGCAACTTACAAAATGAAATTTTACTAGTTTCATACCGCATTTCACTGGGAATTTTAAAGTTGTTATGTTGGATACACAAAGTTACCAAAAATGACGTCATTCTCTTCCTAATGTGAATATCCTACATCAGGTCGAGAATTTGAGGTCTTGGGTTTGATTACTAAAATTGCCAGACCTTGCAACACTAAGTCTGAAGCCTCGTACTTTCGAGTTGAGCTCCTTTATGAAAAAAACTGAACTTTTGTTTAACAGTAGGACTTTTAACGTCGTTGCCAATATCATCTCACATTTCGACTAAACGATATTCGAATTTATCGCGAAATAAAACTATTAAAAATGATTGCTAGAAGGGTTGGCTTAACCTTTTGTTTGTCCCGCTTGCCGATTAGATAAGGAAGGCAAAGGGGAATTTAAATTTGCCGCTTCCATATCCACTATAGCTGCGGTATTATTTGAAGATTGCGACTCTGGTTGTCCGCGAGTAACTAGTAAATTTGAGACAATGGAAAACGTATCAAAATACCTATTGCTCATCAAAATTAGTGCTATAATTCTTCCGATTCTTCAAGTTATAACTCAAGGTCTGTTTGACAGGCTTCGAACGTTGCACGGGCTTTTTCTATTTCTTCAAACCGTTTTTATAGAGCGGATCGAAACGCGATAAGATTTTTCATAATTTGTAAGAGACCGCTGGGCAACTCCATGTTTAGATTAATCGATGTGTTTGTCGTATTTTAGATTGGATTAAAAATATCCAAATCGGAGGACCAATGTTTTGATCCAGGATTATTTCATTCTGCCTGAACTGTGACAAAGGACAAGACAATGGTGAATATTCTACCTGTATAGTTAGAGAGGGGGTCAGATTGGTCATTATGAGGAGAGGAAAGATGATCGGATAAACTAATAGGTAGAAAAAGTCATAATAGCGGGTAAGTCCCAAGACGGGCACAAGGAACAAAAGGGAATTGAAAAATAAGTTATTTGTAGTTTACAATACTTACGTGGAATAACGGGCTGCTTGAGTAAAGATATTCGTGAATATTGAATTTTATAACGATAGCTTAGAAAAGACCATATATCGGGGGCACCAACCGAGAAACTCAAACTGGGAAACCCATGAGAATAATACAAAACTAAAAAACTTAAACAGACTCATTTCACAATACCCCTAAAGACAAAGAATGTAATAAACCAAACTGCTTTGTTGTAAATTTAAGCGCTGGCAACTCTAGGTTGAATACTAAAAATTTAATATTTACAATTTACTACCTTGAAAATACTGGATGGCAGAGGCACAGTAGAACGTTAAAAGACGCAGTAATGCACTTTCTCCACTTTTTGGTTATAATTCACAGAACGCATGATCGACTCGAAGAGGGAAGTGGATGCGCCGTGAATTGTTTTGATAATCGGCAACGTTGTCATATCTAAAACTTTTCATGGAATCCACCGCTTTTGGCCTATCAGACTGACTGTTTTGTTCTGGTCAGAAATATTCCAAGTTCTGATTTATTTCATACTGCATTCGCATTTTAAAATATATGAAAACATTGCTTAGAGGAATGAGAGTTTCAAAAAAAAAAACAACAAAGATGTTACCAATAGGATAAAGTTTTCAAAAGACTGGCAAATAACGATTTCAGCATTTCTTAGTTTGTCGCAAATTTCAAAATATAAGGGATTGAATGAGTCAAAAATGTNTGTCGAGCAGTTTATATCCATTATTGACTTGTTGAGCAGTGTATGAAATACTGACAAATCCAATCGTGGCAGGTAACTATGGATGCGCAGTAGTCCTAAAAAAATAAAACTGTGTGTTACAGACATCAAAGGTTCCGACAAGAGTAATACTACTGGTTTTAGCTACACTGTGGCACGAGCGCAATTATTAAAGCTCAAACGACACAAATCGTGGCAAGTGTCAAAGATTAAAATATAATTCATCACAAGAAATGAAATAGAAAGAAAAAACGTACACAACCAGCAATGTGTGAAAATTCCTGACGTGACAAATAAAATATTTTCTTGCCTAAGTGTAGCTTTTTGTGAAATATATCAGGATAATGTGGCAAATCGTTGAATCAACTCAGTGAGGTGTAACAGTAAACTGAAAGAGTAGCAAACTGCACAATTTTATAGACCATAATAATCCTGCACAGTTTACGTCAGATATTGAAAATAATGCATTTTTCTGTGGATGCCCGCACTTATACAATTTGAATCATGCGCATGTGCTGCAATCTGAGGATAACACAGTGCATGCGCAAACCTATGCAGAAATATGTATTGGGCACGAGCACAATTATTGGAGGTAGGTTCATATGCATTATCCAGACATGATATTCTTTGGAAACTGAATCAAACGGTAACAGCAGCAGCTTTTTATAAATTTTGTTGTTCTTTGTAGTTCGTATTTTCTACCTGTTCACTAACACTTCTCTCATAAATTCACAATTCGAAAAACTCAAAATACAGCAAACACGAATAATACAATGAACACGAATATGTTTCACATTAGGTTATGAGCTGTTTACCGTTCAATGTCGCCATTCGTTGAACACACTAGCGCCTTTATTGGTAGAAATTTTTCCCTATTCTCAATGGCACACGTCGATGCTAGTGATTGAAAATATTCAATCATCATAGGACATGGAAAAAAAATAAGTATCAATGGAATAGAGATGACAGAGAACACGAAATCATTGACTCGATACAAAAAAACGTGTTTAATTCTACTATCCCCCAACTCTCCAGTGGGTTGAATTATGTAGCGAATTGACAAATTAACGCAGTGGGGTGTAGCAGTGAACTGAAAGACTCAAAAATGTATCAAACTGCACAATTGTGTATCCGATAACAATTCTGGCCATAAAACTAATTAGTATTAGACTAAAAATGTCCCCTGTCCAGAGATTCAAATGTAACACTTCTTGATAAAAAAGCGTCGAGTTATCATTTCATTTATTTCAACTTTTTTTTAACGTACGTAAATAAAGTGTTCGTGTCAATGAGCTTCAAGTCACAGTGGCGGACTAAACGTCAGGACACACCGGGCAAATACCCAGTGCGCCGCTGGTGATTTGGTGCTGCAATAGTCGGGAAATGATTGAAGTTTTGCAATGGTTTAAGAGTCAGAGTAAATTGTTTGAAAATTCAACAAGTCACCTATTACATACTTATTCTCATTGTTATTCTCTTTATATTCCTTTTGACAATAATCACACATTTTTG